GGAGAGTAGTGAGTCGTCGGATTCCAATTCGGAGGAGGAGAGCGTGGTGAGGAAGCCGGTTGCACATGAGAGGAATGCGAAGGTCGTGAATACTGCTTTGGCGAGGAATGATGTTTCTTGCATGGTGGATGGACTTGGTAGTGATCGTTTATAAATTAGTTCATATTTTTAGGTAAGAAGCGGGTTGACGTTTCCTACGTTTCATCTTTTTCGAAAACGAATGACCTTCCTCTTAAGAAATCGAGGATCGATGGTGTTGAATTTCATTTACGTGAAGTTAAGCCGGGTTCTTCTAAAATTCCTGTTTCTGAAGTCTCGAGGAAAAGTTATGTCGTTATAATTTTTGCCTTATTAATAATTTGGTACTTTTTACCTTGTCTTTTTATGTAAATCTTTCAAAGAGTTAACTGTAATTTAGTTGAATGTTATTTAGATCTTTTAATTTTATTATAAGGTGCAGACTCCACTCTGAAGCCTCCTAACGTCGTTGCTGGTGCAGCGAAATTTAGCCCTTCCAAGCAAAGGCTTCCATTCCGGCGTGTCGAAGATGATGCCTCCGGAGTTCTACCAGAGTTGGCTGACAATTCTTTTGCTGCGAAGGTACGTTGAATGATAATATTGATCTCAGTACTTAACAGTCACTTTTTTTGTGGTATTTTGCGTCAATCGTTTAATGCTCTCTTCAGAAAGGAGCTCGAGGCAGTTGGGGCGAACGCGCGGACATGACACTTAAATTCACTCGCGGCAAGGATTTCCGCCACGAGAAGACAAAGAAGAAACGTGGGACATACAGTGGTGGAGTCATCTCCACTGCTGTGTGTTCCTTCAAATTTAACGAATAGGTGTTTAAAACTGCTATACATTGCTACCTTGATCCCTTTGTACATACCAACGCACTTAAATGTCTACCTTGGTTACTTTCTATCTTTATCCGCGAATTTGGACCCCTATGTTGCAGTTCTATGTGTGGCTGTGTAGTTGTTGATACGATAATTAACTCTTTCGACCTCTATACGCCAGACGATGCTAGTAAGATGCTGCCGTATTCAGAATCCAAGGGTAGATTCTGCCACTTTCTGGAGGCATTTACTGTCGAAGTTGGATGCTAGCAAAGTGGTTCGTTGTTGTGATCGTAACAGCGTGCAAAATTTATTGGGCTACTACTACTTTTTGTCCTCTGGTGTTGTGTAAGGTGACATTAGTGGACTCCACTTTTGTAAGATTGTGGTCTTCTTCACTGCCAAGGCAGTGGATTTCGCAGCCATAGTAGCATTTAAAAACTTGTTGAGTATTTTACTTAAGCATTTTAAGTACGCCAATTGGGCAAGTGGGTAGAGACTGCGCCACTAATCCCGCTTAGGTAACATCAACGTGGATTTCTCAGACTCGGCTGCTTTTGCTTCCATGCGCCAAACCCAGATGTCCTGCATTGAGCGACGAGTGTAACGGTCAAGTGATATGCGAATTCGGGGAACACTGTGATTGCCAATGGAACATTCAGTACATTAAGACTTTTGAGAAGTGATCTCATTTGTGGGTGTACGGCGAATCCAGTTATGTGGGGTTTAAGCCTTACTACATCTCGTTAACGCCGTATGGTTGGGAGTTTTAACTTTCGCGTAACTTGTCACATTTCAACGGTATGTGAAGGGCGAGCTCTCATGTGGAGGCCGTGAACAAAGTTTCGAATCCCAGCGTACAATTCAAAGAGCGTTGGCTGACACCCCCTGGGTCGTCTCCCATCTTAAAAATTCAGACTCTCATCGAATAAATGCACTTATGAGAATCAGGCTGATTTACCTTAAAAATAAAATTATTTTCAGGAACTCGGAGTTCTTTTCTAAGCTCAAACGTACCAACGCATAAGTTAATAGTTAAACATATTCCGCTTATAAAATGTATGATAAATGGCTACTTTTGGATAACCTCCTGACCAGATGCTTGGCAGATGGTTCACCAAACAAGGAGTTGTTTTGGAATACTTTATTGATGAGAGAGTAAATGCAGCTGGCAGAATTGGCATCAGCATTCGGAGGTACAGAAAATTAAGTGAACATTCCTTTGAAAGGAAGGTGAAGAGAGAAAAATTGATGAAATCGTCTGTTTGGAAGAGAACTAGAAAGATAAATGAGTGGGTCGCGTTTCTAGGATTTTACAAGCCAAATTTAAGCAGAAAATCAGGGAAGGACGGAGGGTTGCCCTTGGAGGGCTAGGTAAATGAGAAAAGGCAATCCAGAAGGCGAGATAACGAAGAAAATAGATGGCTGAGATGTTGGTTGAGCACATCAAAGCACATAATTTTAAACCAATTGTCAATAATGGTAAATCTGATGGGTTCGATTGAGACAACTTCACTTCTCCACAGAGCCGTCATTTACAGAAGGCGAGGGGGAGGATGCAAGGGCTGTACTTCTGCGAATATGTTGGACGAAAAGTTCACGAACAATACGGATTCGTGCCACCTCAAAGGCCACCACCATCCGATGGAGGTCGCGAAAGAAACGGCAGTCCAGGTGCTTCAACAGCTTCTCCAACTGTCCTGCATCGTGCTTTTTTAGCAGTACCTTTAAAGCCAATCAGAAAGTAATGTTAGCTGTCAGAAAGGGGCCTACAGATGAATTTTAATGGATAATTCGACTTGCCGTAAGGTGAATTTCCTCATTAGAATCTCTGGTGTCCACATACGACTCGATGAGCTGAGAATTTCCTGAAGAAAACAAGTAATATCCTGATAAGTTTGACGATGGGACACATGAGTGCGTAGTGAGGTATACACCTTTGTCAAAGTTGGAGACAGATTCCTGCAGTTTGCGGAGGTCAAAAAACCAACTCTGTTGCTCGAATTCGACATTCTTTGGAATCGTAGGGAACCAGAGGTCAGGATGATGACGTTGCGTATGGGGTATGAGAAGGCTAGACAAGGCAACAAAAGAAGCACGTTACCTCTTCCCTCAAAAGACAAACGTACTGGCGATAATAAACACAATTGCCCCGCCGCATTTCGACACGCTCCCAGCCGAGAGGGATACGAGGTGCAATGGTGGGATGCTGCCAGGTGGTGGTTCGGGAGCGATTCCGGGAGGAGGCCGACATTTCGCCACCACCGCCACTGGCAGCATCACTGGTAGTGCAGGAGACGTAAAAACGTCGACCCGATGAAGAAACACCCACTGCCCAACCCGCAGGCAAAGGCAACGAGATGTTACTGTCCAGTTCCAGCAGGTCCTACATAAAACGATAAAGGAGAACAGATGATCAGTGCAGCAAGTTGAACTCAATTTCAAACCCGACACGGTACAGTAACACTATAGCAATGAGGCATATGCTGTGAATGATTGACTTTGCAAACATGGAACATTGTGAAGCACTCTGAACTAATTTTTGTGTAACGGTCCAGATTTGAAAGAACTCAGTTTGCAAGAAATATGAAAGAGTCATGAGCTTCTTTTATGGAAACAAGACGTCCGCAACTTTGCATATAGTTACAACGACTGAACGTTTTGCATTCAGCAGGAACGCCAATTTCACGACAATATGAAAACCCAATTCAAAATCCACCTTTTCAATAAGAAACCCAGCTAAAAGGTACTTGAGTTGTGGATAAATGATTGCAGCTGAACTGCCTTACGTTTGAAAATACCACCACGTAAATTCCGAGTATCGAAAAATCTACTAATTCTACTAGTGTCATGAAAGTAGAAGGCTAAGGGAATCTTTGATGACTTTACAAAACTGGAAAGAAAACTGGCATAATAAAGACAACTTTGTATGGAGGGACTTGCGGCTAAAAAAATAGAACGCCACGTCAAGTCAATCCTTACCCACCACCTTCAACACCACTGAGAGATCTGAAACTACGGGTACCACTAAATCTGGCCATGCAAACGACAAATAAAAATGATATTTTGAAAGGAGAGACCTGGCTATTTTTCGACAACCACTGGAATCCCTCAACAGCAAGACCATTGATGAACCGTTAAAAGATTTCGTGAAAATCACTGTGCCGTTAGGCATTTGAAAGGCAATTCTGCTACCTTTATTTGGGCATAGAAGTCCACCTGATCAGGTAGAATTAGGGCTGGATCTTGTGGAAGCATATCGAGCACACAGACTCTATCATCACCCGTTTGACAGCTGCCGAGAGGTGGGTTTAAATCGCCTTCGCGCCGGCCCCAGAGCTGACGTTGTAGCGGTTCCACAGCAGGTAAACGGTTACGACATTGACTACGGCCTTGTTTTTGATCCTCCGCATCAGACACCGAGAAAAACTCTTCTCCTTCCTCCTCCTCACCGGTTCGCATGGGGGAATCCTTTATAAACTGTGATAACGAACATGGGGTTGGAGCCAGAGAATTTGAAGAGGTTGTTGGTGCGTTTTGTAGATCCACCGTGGATGACAATGCTTAAATACAAAGGGGGACTTTTTGTCAACAGCAAGGGGTCCAGATTTAAAAGTATTCCTCTAAACTCTGCTTTTTAGGATAAGCCAACCTATGTGATGAAACATATAGGTTGGAAGGCATTCTACTTCCTCATATATTATGTTCACCTACGTCCAGTCAACTAATTTGTTAACCTCGATGCTTTAGCATGAAAAGTAAACCTATAATTGAAGGCAAATTTTCCTTCCAGTAAACCCACTCGATGTAGTTATCGGAGGCTCACGCGTTCTTTCTCCAGACGCCGGATCATTGGAGTGTGGGAATTGAGGAGGAAGTTGGTGCGGAGCTGCCAGCACAGAGGCAGAGGCCGCATCATCAGCAGCAAAAATGGCAGCCGCAGTAGCAAAGTGATTCGCAGCTGCTCTGAACCAACACGCCGCTGCTGCATTTGGTGGTGGTGGTGGCGGTAGTGGTGGTGGAACAATGTATCGGACCTGAGGTGGCAGATGGGGTGGTGGGGGAGGAAGAGGAGGTGGCGCAACTGGGTGATACCAAGAGATAGGATGTCCGGGATTTGGTGGTGGAGGCGGACACCAGTAGGGTCCGCACAAGGTGGGGGCTAATCGCTGTGTATGTTCGCTATCTTCACTACGAGTCGAGACAGGAATATTGCTTATGCAAAATGACTCGTGTGGAGAAGACACTGGATCGGAGTGGTGTCCAGTGCCCCCAGAGCTAGTGGTGATGCAGATTTTGGGTCTCACGTCAGTGGCACTCCTACCTCGATTATCTCCATCCCCAGAAGTGGTGGTAGCAGCGGAAACGGTAGTATTACTGTCGATTACTTCTCGATGTCGTCTTCTTTGATGATGATGATGACGACCACGTTGTTCCTCCGCGGAATCGGGTCCGAATTTGGAATCGAGATAGCGGGAAAAATTTCGGAAGCCGGGTGGGAGAAGTGGAGGATGAAGACTTTCTTCGACGGCAGAATGTTTCATCCTTCCCTCCTTTTCCTCTTCACTGCCATCCATTACAGCAACTCCATCTTGCACTGGTTCCACATTCCCAGAATCGTCTTCATCAAGAAAGAGATTCACTGTGGAGGAGACTGGAGATGATGGAGCAGTCGTGTCTGTATTACGGTGGAGGTACCAACTAAAAGGTCTGTGCTGAAGCGCTGAGAGTGGATCTAGTGTAGAATTGGATTTCGAGGTGGGCGATGGTTCATTCTGTTGATGCATTGACAACATATTGCGCACCGCATGGAGCAGACAGGTCAACTAACAAAAACGTTAACAAATGAGCCAACAATGTGAATAAATATAAAATTCTCAGTATAATGTAATCGAATTTCGATGCCCCCCAAAGCATTACTTTCATTAAGTGCAAAGAGGTCCCTAGTCATGAAAACAACCCAAGACCCAATGTCACAAAACTCGACCAATAAGAGATATTTTATGAATAGAGGAAGATGCTGCTTTACACCTGAATCCATTTAAACTGGTAATTATTGCTCGTTGTTGAAATATTTAATCATGTATGAAATATGGAAACGAGAAAAGAGAAACTGAACAGCAGCAGAGTTAAAACCGATAAAAGATGCGTGCAATCCCATAAAAGCATCGCCATTTTATCAGTCGAACAGTTTTGCTTCAAAATGTAGGTCCGCAGACCTAGAACAATTCTCCACTTACACGCCCATAAATTGTTTTCGCTAAATAATATGATGTGGTGACAAGCCACGCGGTCCCAGTGATTTCACAGGGGTCAAGAGCATTAATTGCCTTTAGCCAACCATTCAAGAGACCTATGCATCTAATAGGACCTCAGTGGTGTCAACACACGCGAATACGAAGTGTTGCAAAAAAAGCCTATCAAATGGTGGAATGCGAAAGCGCAGGCCACGACAAAAAGGAACTAGAGTTTATAAAAGTTCCTTATTTCATTCGAAAAAAGGCGTCCGATTGGCGTGCTGTACCAAAACAAGTGGAATGATGCTCAAAACAGTGAGAGGGATGATTACATTACGTTGGATGCTTGGAGGCAGAGTGCATTAATTTCTTAGTTGAAGATGTGCCAACAGCAATCAGGGAGGAGAATAACACGTCTCTCCTCCAGTTTTCTCTATTCAATCTCCACACAACAAGAATTGTTAATAAGTAGAAGAGGAAGGCAACAAAGATGAAAGACTACAATCCTGTAGAATAGCTTAGTTTGTTTTATATTAGAATAGGTAATTTTCTTACCACTCTGATAATGACGATGGTAAGTAAAGAGCCATTTTATAAATGCAGTGAAGGAAAGCGTTGAGTCTGGTGGGGTTGAAAGAGGAGCGCAATGAAACGAAACAAAAGGGCCACAATGCGCTCAAAGATGGATGTGCTCGGCTTGGCCAGCGGCCAATCTCGAAGGCATGATAATGGCTCTCCTTCTGCTATTGATTAGAAGTTCACTAATTTTATTCGACACGAGTATAAGCGAAGAATTCGATTTCTCTTCAATATTACCACGAGCGATGCACTACACAAAGAATCGCATTATTCCGACACTCGGGCCCATTTCGACATAAACAGAGTGGAATGAAAATGCGTACTCGCAATTCCAAGGAAATATAAAACGTGGGTTAAATGTCACCTTTGGAACAAAAAATAATGAAGCTTCGCGGATGGAGGGTCTTAACAAAAGAAGGGGAAAAATGTATTTGACGAGGGAACAAATGGAACAGAAGAAACGAGGATAAAGGCACCGAAGGTAAAGAAGTGACGCAAGAACGTACAAGTACAAGATAAAGGGAATGAAAAGTAAGGATCCGGCCTAAGTAGGGGTACTTACACCTGTAACCGTAGACCCTGAAAAATCGACTGCGTTTAGAGCATAAAGCGAAAATTTGAGGGAGAAATCAAGCCGTCGAAAAAAAAATTGACCATCAAGTAATGGGTATGATCAAAATCTCAAAAGTAATCTGTAGCTGAAAATCGAATGTGGAAACGAATAGATGAGGGATGTCTCAAACGTTCACAAGAGCTAATCGGACAGAATTTATTCGCGATATGGCTCCTGTGCACGTAGTCGGGACTACCACAACGCAATTTCATGATAAAAGTCCTTTTAGAAACGCACGACTGATTGCATCATTGTGAAAAACCCTGATTTGGAACAGTAGCTTGGATGAAGTGTAAGTAGCCCGTCTACCAACCAATGTTGAATGTTTAATCAGAAGCCTCATTCGTCATTGGTCATGGATGTCACTGATCCAATTAACTTGTAACTCAGCTGCCATAGCTTTGATGTTCAACCAATGTTCGCCTGACTGTTGTTACAAAAATTTCACAATTTCAAAATGCAAAATGTTCAGATAATTGACTTTTAAATTTGGCTAAAGTAATGGAACATTTCGAGTCAAGCAGCTCAAAGGAAACTATGTAAACGAAACAACTCCTCTTCGTGTAGCGAGGAAGCAGAATAGTGGTTTCGTCAGACAACCGGTTAGATTAGGGCTTTGAGCACGAAAAGAGAACATTGCCTGTAAAACCACCAAGTAAAAATGGATCTGCAAAGGGCATTCTCCGAAACGCTTCACAATGTGTCAATTCTGCAAAGCATGGCGAAAGGAATGTCGACGGTTATAGGTGTAACGTCTCCAATAGATAACTGCTTGTAGGCCAAAAGATAAATGTCTTTTTGATTTTGTCTAGAATGAAAATCCAACTAAAGACTTCGAAAGTGAAAGAAAGAGGCCAAGAACATATAGCTGCAAATGATGAAGACACTTAAGCACGCCAGTAAAGTGAAATCATTTGCATTGTAACACACTGGACGGATGTGTGTCAGGGTTCTGACAGCGTGTTAAAAAGCCTGAGCATTATTGAAGGGTGCAAAGACTAAAAAAAGACTCGCTAAATAAGTTCATACTAAGTGACATTGTAAAGCAGCAAAAACGCCTCTTCGAAAAAAATGAACGATGGATATTTAGAAGTGCAATAATTGACTCTAGTGCACGCTTGTTTGGATGCAATTTAGGTAACAGGTGGGTTGAGGATGCTATTTCCAAAACCAAAAGAGGGAGAGAGTTCTGTTCATCCTTAGGGAGAAGACATATGCCCACTTTTAATGCCTCCATCCAAGGGCCTTAAACCGGAGGTAGAAAGAAGTGCGTAACCATGCTAGTGAGAACTCAAGAATCCTCCGCTCGCTTTGACAAATGGATTGTGTATATCAGAATCACGTAGTGCGTTTAATGATAAGTTATTTCGATATGATAAAAGACAGACATAAGTTTATTGAAATTTATCGTTTTTAATCGCCGCAAGGGACGATTCTGGTATTTGACATGAGTCAATCAACTAATAACTGAAAATGGCTTGCCTTCACCCACTTTTTCACCAATCCACGATACAATCACACTTTAGGGTCTGGGAAAGTTGTCTTAAAAGCGGTGATAGATTTATGAGTAAGGGCATATAAATGCTCTACACTGCTATTTGCTAATAGTAACCCATACACTTACGCTAGCCTGCCGCACTGCTAGAGCCCACATTGACTGAGATGAGACAAGCGAGAGAGAAATTATACTTTGCTGCGTGACAGTCAGTGCTGGAAGGGAATAAGTTTTAACAGAGTGCGAATTAAGACGACCGGAGAGGGATCTGATGTGCAGAGCTGCCGAGTGAAAGCACACCAACTATTTGACCTATCAGAGTAGATCGCATTAATCCTTGAGTTAGCTCCCTGATGCTTTACAACCCACGGGTGAGTTAGCCACAACCGAAGCAGAAGAGTGACTGCGGGAAGCACTGAGACGCCGCTCAAAAGCAGCCATAATTTGAACGACAGTGAGGGAAGAAGCATCTAAAATGCACCAAGGTATGCACATGTATGGTCGCAGATGACAAATTAAAGGGATTGCCAATTAATGAAAATTTCCTCTAGCATTACCAAGAAAGTGATTTTTGCAGTTGCAAACTTCAATTTTGGATTAGGAAAGATTCATAACTGGAGATATAAGTGAAGCTTCCTAACTACTACAGTTTCTGGAAAGGAGGGAAGTGCTAACAGTGGTAAAGGGTAGGCAGCACAAAAGCTCCAACGCCTAGTGCAGGAACAGCGGGGGCAGAATTAGTAACGGAATAGAACAGGCCAAAACAGTACCTGATGCATGTAATCAGGAATGCAAGGAATGTGATGAGTGGAGATAGAGAGATAGAAAGGCTAAATGCCCCACCTCACCACCACTACCAGCCTCGAACACGCAAGGTGCATTGCTATTTTGTGCCATGCCGTGCATTGCCATCCCCACACGCATACGAACAGCCGCGTGCGTGTGCGCACTGTCGACCGAGAGGTCTGCGGCGGGGGAAGATTGGAATCCATCTTCTTCCTTGTAGACCTTCGCATTTTGCCTCATCCTTCCTTCCTTCTCTCTAACTCCCACCCTCTTCACCACAGTTTTCGAATGATGGGGTAGAAAAATTACCAAACTCGCCCCGGATTTAGAATAGATAGCGAAGGTAAATGGGAAGACAATATTTAAGGAACTAACTTAGCTCCTCCATACTCATCTTCCTTACCTTTTAAACGGCAGTACCAAGAATTACCATATGCACCTAATGTAAACTCCTCTATAACATGACGATAAAAACTGAAGATTTCGGCAGACTTTATGTCAGACCAACAAGGTGCATATTTTAATCAAGAGAGAAACGAGATATGGTCGCCAAGAATAGAAATAAACTCGAAGCACGAAATAGCCCCTCATAGTCATAAAGAGGAGATGTAGCAGCAACAGGCACAACAGTAGAAGAAACATTGAAAATTGATGTGATTTAGCAGAGGATTTTATTGCCAAAATCGGGATAGTTCGCTGGAAACGCTTCTGTTTCATAAGTAAAAAGTTCGATGGCTGTGGATCATAGTGTTTAGCACTCATAAGTAAATGGATGGCACGCACACACATTCGCCCAAGCAGAATCGAAAATTTAATGGATGTAATTACAAAAGAATAAAATTCACCTCTATAAGTCACTGCGCAGAATATTCCAAAAGTATTTCAAACTCCTTTGAAGATTGGTAGTGTTAAGGTAAAGGCGTCCAGTTAAATATGTTTAAGGCATGCTGATAGACTCGATGAAGGTCTACTGTTGGTGATAGAAGTGCAATACTTCTGTAGTCATACTAGCGGCTACCCAGGAGGAGGGGCTAACCAATTACAACTGCCAATTAGGCCCTCTACCATAAATCTTGAAGTATGGTGGTGGTTACCACGAGCCGATGTAATGCAACAACTGGTAATGGAAGAGGTTCCACGAACCAAAGAAAAATGGGGACATAATGCCGACTTTGTAGCAAATATAAAAATAAACGAGAGGTGGAACCCATAATTAGGGGACGATTTTATTCCAAATAAGAGGTATCAAAACTGGTACCAGGTTGACAGTTACCTGCATGACTCAAGGGAAGGTTTTCATACGCCTGGCATGGGTAAGTCTTGACTCCCTGCTTTGCTGATTTGAAGCCAGTTGTCTATCAAGTCCGTTCAAATGACCATGAAATTGTCGATGTCTGTCATCATTTACCCTAAGTCCGACGAAAATAAAGTCCTAGTAAAAGCACCATGTTGGCATCCCAAAGACATTTCCACAACACACACCGATGCCTCAATGTCTGGCTGCAATTTAAAACAATTTCAAAGGCGATGCACAAAACGAATTCTCCTAATTTACTATTGAAGTCCTAGTGACTGAAACGTAGGGAGGACCTTCTAAAGTTGCTGCTAAAATAAGAGATTATAAAGTTTTGCAAGGTCTTTTAATTGTGTTCCATAAAAAGGAAACAGGAGAACAAAACTCAGAACTTTGGCCGTGGATGTTTCAGCATGAGAGCCTTGTATTGCCACACAAATTGGACAAGTATTCGTGCAGACTTAGGACCACTCCTGCGTCCGAAATACCTCGCCTAAGGCTACAACTTTAAAGGTCAAAGTTTTGTGATTACTGGTGCAAGCCATGCAACGGCAGAATACGAGATGGAATTGCCCCTTATTCAAACTCTCAATTCTTCGATAATACAATATTGAGATGGACAAAAAAAATATGGAGGTAGGAAACGGGTATTAGAAGGGAAAAGAGAAATGCACGGATTAACTTCAAAAACTTTCAGTGGAAGTTTATCCCCTTTGTGGTGTGTTGGAAGAATAACGCATTTAGATGATGAGTGGTTGGGGTACACCGGCTCGTCTCGATAATAATCAAACGCCTTTGATTCAAAAAGTAAGACGAGCATTAGTACCTATCAAATCTCGATACTTTGCAAGGCCCCTATTGCCGTGCATAAAAATGAGACGACTTCCTGTACTCGACACTCTTGGTTCACGAGCCTGAAACTGGACTAGCACCAGTAGTATGAAAAAAAAATAAAAGTGAATGCAAAAATAAGCGCGAAAACAAGTTATGAACAGTTCTGCAAACCAGACTATAACAATTATACTATCATAAAGAGCTGGTCCAAAAAGAAACAATTAATTGAAAAGGACAACAAAACCTCTAAAAAAGTTTCCTTGTTTAGCAAATCTTGGTATTGGAATGAACAAATAACACAAACGCCATAACATATGAAGGAACAGTAGCAGCAATCGTGGTAGTTTAGCTTCGCCAGTATTCTTCGTGCTACATCCGATAAACTAAAACAATTCTTTCAGAGACTAAAGACGAGGGACATAAAAAAATCTAAGTCCGATTTACCTCATCTCTGTTGAAGTCCTGCAACGAGGATGGTGCGGAACCAGCATAGCAGGAGGATGCAGAAGAGGGTGAGGAGGAGAGGTAGTAGGAGCTGATTTCACCGAAACCTGATGCAGAAACAGTGGGATGGGGTGGTGGAAGCTGTGATGCTGATGGCGGTTGCGGTTGAGGGGTCGATTGTGGCGGAAAGAGAAGGAGCGGGGCGGTCGGCGGATGATAGTGTAAGGGGGTTGCTACTACCGGGTAGTGAAGAGCTTGATGCTGATGGAGGTGATGATGAACATTACTCACCCACGAGGGATGTGCGGACTGACGACCTGAGTCGCTCTTTGCTTTGGCGGGGAGGACTTAAATTGAGAAAAATTAAAGTTCGAAGCACTAAATCCCTACACCTTTCAATTACGTGACTCACCAGGTCGGAAAGGCATAATTTCAAGAAGTTGTTGAAGGCGTCGTTCCAAATACTGCAAGTGCTCCACTGACATATTTTCCATGCGATAAGATTTTGATCTAGAAGATTTGGAAGACTGATTTCCAACGGCATGACGAGAGCCTGGGAAAGAGATGGATTGAGGGATAACGCCACCAGCTTCACCTCTTTTCGGTGTGGCAGAGCCAGAAGTTGCACCTGACCGAGGAAAGTCTGGAAGAATAACAGGACCAGACAGAACCAATATGTAAACGATCAAACCTACGAGCACTGTGATGAAGCTGTTGAAATTCTTGGTTCATTTCACACTGACCACTACGAACAGGTGTGCTAGGCTGACTGGCGGGATAGCGACGGCGTTGAGCATCATTGGAGGCAGTAGACTGGAACTGTGCAGCGAAAAAAGGTCTGACGACTGTAGAGGGACGAACGCGACCTAGCGAAGACGTGGCAAATGCAGAACTGACCGGAGGTTGAGACGCCGACGGTGGATGTTTCTCGGACGAACGTTTGCCGAAAAGAGGCAGTTTGGATGGCCGCGAGACACCAGGGGTGGCGGTCGGCTTACTCAAAAATAAATGCGAGTCTTGGCCGGACATCGTGTGTGGGATCAAATACTCGACTACATCGCAAGTCTACAACGTTAATTTTAGAGCGTTTAAAGTAAATCCACATGTATAAAGAAGATTTCATAGCCACACGAGCCAAATCGGTCAGAAACTCCGCTAGCACCACCAAAAAGCGCGTCTTACTTATTACCCTCAAATATATAATTGCCAAAAATGCAACAGGGAATGCAAAATTGGGTTAAAAACATATCAAAAATGTTGCTTACATAAAAGATTGATGGTCGGGCAAACCTTCACCTAACGATAGGGATGTGAAACGCGAGAATAGAAGATGCCCCAACACTCCCGCAGATTTCACCCCACCAGGTTGAAGAAGCATTGTGGGTGTGGATAACTTAAACAATTAACATAAGGATATAATAAGTTCGCAGGAAGCAATAAGATCTATTGTTCCATTAAACAAATAATTAGCATGTAGTCGATAGTTAATCATTATATATACAACTTTCTTGTGCATGCCATAGAAAACCCCATAACTTTCGTTATTAAACCCACCTAATGCAACTTTAATTAGCACTTCGCTAATTCTTTTAAGTTCACTAGGTCCCAAGGCGTAAAAGGATGCACTTGTTAACCATAAATCTCATTGTCAACTGTGGCTTATGCGAAATCCTTAGATTACTTTCTGGCTTTGTAACACCTTAAGGATGCTCTGCTGATTTCATTTTAAAAGCCACTTAATGACCCCATTGTTTGCATGTTAATCAAAGCTTTCCTCTCTGACCATAATTGTTTTCATTTGGTTTAATCAACCAATGAATCATCTCGAAGGTTAATCAAGGTGGTTAAAGTACTAGTACTTTGGTGCGTGAAGTTGGTAATTTACATCCGTTTGGAAAATGTCGTGTCCCTTCTTTTTCGTCTCCCGCAGACCCAAGGGTGGAACATCACAAGTTCAGCTACAGAATGATTTATATGACTGGTATGTTTCGAGTCGTCTGTTCACCCACTGGCTAGCCTAAAGAACATTTCTGATCAAATAAAGAAAGATGGCGTTTACGTTCCTGAGGTTTTACGACCTCTCGTGCGATGCGTTATTGTTGAGACCGTTGTTGGACCGTCCCATATAGCTTTCCGACTTCAAGTAACGACGATGAATTCGATTTTGCTGATTATATCTTTATTCAGGATGGTCGAGTGTGTCGCTTGGCTTTCTCGCTCCGAGCCGATAAATTTGTATGTGTCAACGAGAAGAAGTAAAACGTTTCTCTTTTACATCATTCTTGTAGGCGAGGCCGCTCTTCAGACTCAAGGAATGAGTTCCCTTACAGTCGTGATAGCAACGCTGGCCCCGTGCGAGTTTCTAATGCTCCTGTTGCTCTTCGAACTCTACGTGCACCAATGAGTGTTCTGGGGAGGGGCAGTAGATCTATGAGCTTGTTTCGAGAAATGCAACGTCAGGGGCTCTATCTGCGACCCCTAAGTTCCCAAATATCGCCTGCTGACGTTCCTGAGAATCTTATCGAACAGTGTCAAATGGTTTTGCAGGTCATTTGACACTTTGTAGGCATTGAGAACTTGTTTGTCAGAAGTATTATCAATCACCCTTTATGGTTTTAAACAGGGCAAGTCCAGGCAGCTAATCATTCGGGAACTACAGCGTACCAATTTGGACGTCAATATGGCTGTAAACAATATGCTATCGCGTGAAGACGAGGCAGATTTTAATGGAGCCTCTGGAGCCGTCAACATCGGTGATGACTGGGAAGATGATGCGGAAGACATTTTTTCCCTTCTTGACCATCCTGAAGGTTTGCTCTTGGAAGGAGAAGGCGGTTTTCAGGAAGACATTATTGATAGATCCTCGTCTCCAAGGTTTAGAAGAGAGATTCTTATGGATTGTGGTAACGTACAATTTATTCCTGCAAATATTCTTACTAGATCGAACACTTGGTGACCACGCCACTTATACAGATCGTCGAAAACGCAGAAGATTTGATGCACAAGGATTCCTGCGTAATTCTGAGACCTACAGTGGTCGTACGGCGGAGTCTCGTCTATTTTTGCGTAACATGGGACTCCCCGACGAAAAGGTAGTGTGTTTTTGTCCAAATATTTATATCTGGGGTCTTCAGCAGGACGAAGAAAGTGGTTATGAATCAGTGTCGGCGTCTACAAAATGTGTCGAGAGCAACGTACAGCTAGGCGATCGTCTCGAGTTTTGGCCCACAAACTCAGCTGAATCAGTTGGCTCGCATTTCGTCAGCATTGCCGCCCTCTACACTGAACTTGTCGCAATTAACAGTCGTGGTGAACTCCACCAATGGAAATGGCAAAGTCCTGAACCCTTTAATCCACATGTACGTAACTGCCTTTTGTCGAATGCGTTACGCGCTGCCTCTTAGCATAGAATACTCACCCGTCTACTGTTGCCTTTTCAGGCTGTCAATTCGCCTCCATTTAATTTGTCAGACCAATCAGAAATTGGTGCATCGCTAGTTAACCATCGCCATCCCCGCGCCACTAGTTTGGGAATCACCCATGAAAAGATAGTCTCCCTCTCGGGATGCGTCACTCGCGCATCGATTATGACAGCGTCTGGAGCTATTGCCACATGGATGGATGAGATGCTGCCCAGTCTTTTCCACTCTGCTGCCCCCGCATCCTCAGCGGCTGCCACCGCAGCAAGCGCAGCTCTCATGCGTCTCGAACATCCTGCGGTACACTTCAATGAACTTAAGTCGGAGGTTGTTATTCGTGTTTACACTGCACCGCTTATTACTGTGGTCCAATGTGCTTCAGGTGCGGTCTTTTGGTGGGGCGTTCTGCCCTCCTACATTAGACAACGCAACGCCGAAAAACAGAAGCATTCTGGTTCTGCATCAACTACTCCCATCACTACTGGCACAACGGCTAATGCTAGTCGCCATCGAAGCACCAGTGGCAGCTCTGAAATGGGTTCAAAAGCGCCTGCTGTTGCCAGCACTGCTACCACCTGCACTCCACCTCTCAGTCCAGGAGATTTGGTATGTATGAGGAATGCGCCTATGTTTCACTCTGGTGCAATTGGTTTCACATTGATCAATGGCATACCCAAAGTGGGAGTATTGTTGGAAGATGCGTGGAAGCTGACCGACGTTTGCCGCTTCCGTGTTAAGTCACCCTCTGGACTGAGGGGACAGACTGGTGTTGTAGTTTTCGGAACAGGTGGCAGTACAGTTGCAGGAAAGAACAGTTCCACAGAAGCGGTTCATGCTCTTACTTGCCCCTATGCTCAAGCTGCTGCTGCAGCTGCGGCTGCTGCCGCCGCGCAAACTGATCACGAACCTCCTTCCACCGACTCGGGTGTAATGGAGATGCCTCCGCCTCCCTCACCTGCTTCATCTACATGTTCAGATCATTCAGGACCCGTTAAAGTCAGTCCAAGAACATTTAGTGAGTGGTCACTTTATTGAACCCAGATCCTCGGATGTTTAAAAGAACCAAGGAGTTGCAAGTACTCTGCCTTTCTTTTTTTCAGAACAATTGAAATTAGACGGCCGTTTACTGCTGTATTGAATGGGATTTGATATTGGAGAAATTAAATCACCTAGGTGTTAAATAATTTGTTTATTGTTAAACCTGGTTAGTGAGCTCTCATTTGCTAATTTTACTACCAAACATGAGGCTTTCTCTTACCATCTTTGATTTTATTTTTTCTTCAAATGGGCTTCAACTATGCTAGTCCACGATTCATGGAAGCGAAAATAAGTCTTTGGAGGCTCTGTTTATTAAAAGCGTTCAACTAATTTCTTACTAGTTTGCTCCATGTAATGGCATTCATTTTCAATCGATCCCTAATAAAATGAGTTGGTTTATTTTCTTCGTTAAACTTAATTAAGTAAGGTTTGTCGCGCTTCCATTTCACAAGATTCTTTTGAGGCTATGGTTTTGCAAACGAAAAAATCACAGCCAGTTCCAATTTGCGCTCGTCGATGTTGACTCCAATTTTTGATCTTTTGAACATCTTTTGCCATCCTGACTAACTAGCACTTTCTTAAGTTGACCCAATCAACTACCCCTTGGTACTCTTTATTAAGTTCTTGGTCTACTCTGTTTTCTCACTCCATATGGGTGCTATGTTCGCTACAAATTGCTCGTATTCTTTTATTTTACTGCACTTGGCTTTTGCATCAACGTTCCAGCAACATTTTGCCCCATTGATTTCTTGACTTAGGCGTCTTTTTCGCATTCTTTTTTGCGTTGGAGGCTGTTATTGGGCAACGGAGAGGACAAAAGGCTACTCCTTGTAATGAGTGCAATTATCACGTTACTTGGTTTAATTTAGTATTGTTTTTTGTTCAATACTTTTTCCAGTATTAGGCGATCACATTACTCGTAGATCATCCAAACACAATTATATTAGTCTTTCGTTCAACTTTGCCAACCTCACTATTCCCGGTGTTCTGTTATTATTTTCAATCAGCTGTCCTTCCTAGTTATTTCATTCAGTTGTGTCACCTCAGAAGAATGTCAACACCAACTTGTATTTTAGTCAGTTTGATTTGAAACTGAAACTAATCATCTGCAGCCACATTTCTGTCACGTTCGAGCTCAGGTCAAATAAGAACATCTTTGAATTGCTTTGGTTTTTCCCTACAGAGCGTAAAAAGGCTCCAAGCACTTCAAGTGATGGCAGTGGAAACGGTGGCGGAACAAGTGGAAGCGGCGCTCGTCGTGTACCTGACCAGCTGGATCAGCAGCAGCAGCAGTTAACGAAACAAACGACCAAACCAACTACACCAAAGTCGCATCACGATGAAGAAATTGAAGACTGGTGTTTGAGTGAAGTAGTCTTCGTGGAGGATGGCCGGACTCAACCAGTGGGTGTGCTGCTGAAAATTGACAGAACTATTGCCGCTGTGAAGTTTCTCAAAGAACAGGATCGCGCCTGCTTGGCTGCCCGCTGTCCTTCTGCTCCCGTTTGCCTCTTCATTAACCAGATCACAAAATCTGCTCCTGCTCTTCAGAAACCATTCGCTGCTCCTCCCGCTGCTTCTTCCTCAACCGCTGCTAGTGCACTTGTCGCTCCACATGATCCCATGGCCTGGCTCAATGTAAGGTATTTTCTTTTACTTCTCTCTTTCCGTTTTTTTCTAACCCAGCTTATACTTCTATAGGATTGCCGTCTATTAAAAAAGGACGATTTGATGCAGGTGAAGCAGACAGCGGGTGGGGGACTGTCCCAGCGCATTCCAGACTTTGTTCAACCAACACCGCGCCACGTATTGATGAATTTTCTCACCTCCAAGTCGAATTCCTCGTCCATCAACACGTCAAAAAAGCGAATTTTCGCTCTGGCTCCGGAAAACTCACGTCTCCATGCTATTGTAGGTCGAGTCGAACCAGAATCAGGCACTGGAAGCGGCGAGGAGCAGCGAATGCGACATCTGGAATACCATGTTTTTACGCTGAATGGGAAGACTGTATCATCTCGACGATTGCCAGCTCTTTCGAGGCTCACAGCTGGTCTGGAGGATACGATTGAAGTGAACGGAGCGAAGAGCTCTCTGTACTCTGACATTATGCTCACATGTCCTGCTGAGGTTTGCATTCGTTAATATTTCGTCACCTTAAATGGAAAGTAAATTATTTTTTTTTCTACAGCAATACGGGAAAAGGGTTAGACAAATACCCAAATTAATCTGCTTAATCATAATTGAGGTGTCAAGTCTAGGGCATCAAGTCAGGTGGCGCGATCTCGTACTGCCTAATTTGTAGTGCGCTTTTCATCCTTAGTCTCAAAGTTTTCACCATTGGGAACTGCTATTTTGAGCGCCTTTGCTTTCAGCACTTTTTGATTATTTCGTTCATTCACTAATTTGAGGTATTTCAACTTCAAGAGTGAGGTGGTTTTTCGTTTCCAGTCTCATTTTCAGTTTTCAGAATCCCTCTACTCATAAGATCATAAAAGGGATTAGGCGGTCTATGTGTTATCATCTGCATAAAATGATAGAGCGGTTTTCCTGCATTATAAGGAAATGGGCTCTCGGCCTTTGAAAGAACCTAGCCTTTCAATGATGAACTGTTGGCTATACCGCCCATTTCAGCGTCCTTTGCTGCTACGCGACTCTGTTGGAGTAGTATTCCCTTTTCTACCACCTTCGCGTCCTGGCCAGGAGTCCTGGGTGTTTCCTCCCTGGCTAGACCTACCTGCAGTACAGTGTGCCGCCCTCTCCTGGATTAGCGCTTCCTCTCCACGCACAATCTCGGCCACTATCTCTGCCTCCACCCCTCAGCGCGACACTGAGGTAACTGCCGCAGGTTCTGTGTCTAGGCCCGGCGGTGAAAACAGCAAGAGGATGGCCTTATCTTCTGCCACTGCTAGAGATCTTCAAGGCGACCAACGCCTCCTACTGGGTGTGATAGTTGTCAGAGAGACCAGCCTATTGCAACATATCCTGCGTGCTGATGAAGCAAAAGTGGAGGAAACGGTAAAGCGGAAGCTTGTAATGCCTCTTACAACTGCCTTTATACTTCTGAAGGCAGTCATTTTCTATGTTTTCCAAGTTTTAGGCTAAACTTGAAATGCGTTTTTTTAATGTTTAGCTTCGATTGTTGAATACAGCACCATCTAGTCGAGTGGAGTCGATAGCAAATGAAATGGCAGACGGTCATCGGACTCTCCTTCATGTGGCTGTATTAATGTGTGCTCCATTGTCTCGCGAAACCCCAGAGATTACTGAGCGTCTGGAAAACATCCTTAAACGCGTAGGCAGCGGAAATATTGGCTCCTCCTCTGCTCCACCACTGCAGGCTCCACCGCCTCCCTCCGATGGCAGTGGATGGACCACCATTTCTCCTTCTCCTCCACCACCACCTCCTCCGCCCCTTCCGAGGTCATTGCACTCTCTTCTCAATCTGTGAGCTAGCAGGCTGTTTTTAAAAAACGTTATCCTCTTCAAAGGTTATCTCTTCATTGGCCTGAATATTTACGGTGTATAAAGAAATAAATTTCTTTTGTGATTTTTCCAATTGATTCTGATCCTGTGGTCTTAGTTAGTGTCAAATGACTTTCTTTTGATGGCCTCATCGCCTCCCTATTGCGGTACCCTAATTGTGCTAGTCTTTTATTTGTTTCGAAGATTTCATTATAGTGCTCTGCCTACTGTGTCTTTACTCTGTAGTTACAAATATCACTTATATAACTGCCTGTGATCGAAAAGATAAAAACCTTATCTGGTTGTCATGAACTTCGGTCCTTCGAAGAAGGGGCAACTTCTTATCATTTTGCCTCTTGCAGATCTTATACGTAATCCCTTTCGTCAATAGCTGTCTTTATCCATATGTTTCCCTATTCTCCTTTATATTCGTCATGCGGTACTATGAATAGAGGAATGAGCATTTTAATTTTTCTTAAGTTCTCTACTCAAGTCTCCATTGTCCCTGTAGTTTAGCGGGATCTTTTTTTCGAACTCTACATCGGCGTTTCACTAACGATCTCGGAAATATCGATTTTGCAACCTCACTTCCTCCATTTTCGTAAAGTGCTTCAACACCTCTATTTATGAAGTTATTATGATTCCTTAAACCACGAAATGATGTTGAGGTGATGTACTGTTTCCTACTTTGGCAAGAAATATTGCTACACTACAATTGCAGGCTCATCTTTATTTGTTGTTCAAGAATGCAATTAGGCTTTCTACAGTTAGCCACACCTACATAAAGTGACAGCTCACTTATTCAAATTTTCGCTGCGGTGACAGAAGCGCCTCTAACAATCAGCGCTCATCAAATGTTGGGGTGGCGTCAAGCGTCGTCACCGCCTCCCCCTCCTCCTCGTCGGTTCATGATCTCTTCATTCGCTCGCCTCTGGAGGCTGCAGCAGCAAGCGCGGTGGAGGCAGCGGCTACGGTATCAGTGACCGCTCCCTCTTCCTCATCTACGTCATCTGGTGGTCACTTCTGTCACATGGCTCCGCTTCCTGTGACCGAGGAGACATCGCGTAGAGTCGCTTCGCATCGGATCCTCCGCGCTCTCGTCCTTCATCCTAGGCTTCGCACTCTTCTGCCGCGTCTCCTTGCGTGCCTTTCAGACGATGGACTGACGCCATTTATGCTGGCTATCCAATGCAAGGCCTATCAAGTGGCTGTGTTTTTGTTAGACTTTCTTGCGGTAAGATCTTGTCTTGCCTTTTCTCCACAGAATTATTAAATGGTGAATAACATTGGAAGCTACACCACTTTGACCATTCAGCATTTAGTCGGGATGTTTTGCATTGTGAACTCATTATTCTTTCCTTCTTGGTACTGGCTTCTACTGATGATTGATAGTAGCTTTTCTTCGGACATTTTCCGAGACCTTTCATTCCAAATGTTGTGCTGATATTTTATTGGGGTGTTTTTTACCAAATATTTCATTTTTCAGCAGAAGCAACTATAAATTTAATTTTTACCATGGATAAAACGATTATCAAATTGGTGTTAATGGTTTTTGCAAGGATAGAATATGCTCTTGCTTGCTTCCCATCGCTTTCCCTTCTTGCCTAGTTGGGTCAATCATTGTCACCGAGGGCTGAGCAGCTTGTATAAAGTAAACTTGGTGATTAGTGGACCCTTCATTGATGTCAATTCAATGGCCTTGTGCTGATACTTTCCTTATTTTAAGATCTATTGGCCCAAATTCCTCACCATTTAAGGTTTTTTTGGAAACTAGACTTCGTCACTTTGTAACACGGTAATATTATTACTTAGGCTCAACTCCTGGCCAGAGAAGTCATTATTTCTTTCTGATTGTGGTTTGATCACTTATACATTGTTGCATGTCTTTGTTCTAGTTCCATTTAAACACCTCTGCTTGATGCTTCAGTTTTTTTTTAATTTTTCGATATTTTTAGCTTAAAGTAGATAAAGCGCTTTATAGAATAAGCCATGACGGGATTGTACTTTTGGACTAAATTGGCGTCGAAGAATTTGAGACATTGTTACTGTGTGGATTCCTTCTCTTTTATTTCAGGAATTGGAAGGCATTCGTTCGGATGGTAGCGAGGAGTCCGCGTACCAGTTTCGTTACACTCGTCTCATGCGCTATATTTTTCCACCCTCTGCTCGCCTGGACGACTCGCCGCTCTTCACTCTCTGCTACAATGACACTTGCAGTTTTACCTGGACTGGACCTAATCACATTCGTCAGGACATTTTTGAGTGTCGCACCTGTGGTCTCATGGACTCGCTTTGCTGTTGTTCTGAGTGTGCGCGTGTTTGTCACAAGGGGCACGACTGTCGTCTAAAACGCACATCTCCCACGGCCTACTGCGACTGCTGGGAGAAGTGCCGCTGTCGTAGCCTCGTTCTCGGTCACCAGGCTTCACGACTATTCCTCTTTCAACGCCTTCTACTTCACACTGATCTCGTGTATTTACCCAACCGGGCAAATGAACATCTTCTGGTTTACCTCACTCGTTGCGTTGAGCGCCAGACAAGAGAGCAAAAGCAGTACAAGTCGGCACGAAGACGTGGGGGCAGCAGTGGCGGCGGCGGCGGAGGCGGAAGTGGAGGCTGTGGTGGTGGAAATGGTGGTAGTGGTGGTGGGGAACGTGGAACTCTATCTGTTGCTCGTGCGGGTGGATCCTCATTGGACGAACCGGAGCACGACCTTGAACCACCGACCTTCTCAAGAGATGCTCTTGAATTAGTGTTGGATTCAAAAGCAGCGGCTGCCAGCTTGCTGTGTGATTGTAAAAATGTTGTCGCGACGGAGCCTTTCGCGAAGCTTGGGGACAGAAAAGGGAAAACTGCAGCTTGTGTAATTTCTTTTATAAAATGGAAACTATTCAAATTTGCTTTCGATAGTTTAGCACCACTTCATTTGTATCCTCAGTATTGTTCCGCCGTTATCATTAGATTATACTTTCGCCTAGTGCATTTTTACGAGTCCTTTGAATTGAGACAGATGTTCCTTCTGTTATGTTTGGGTAAGATACTAGAACATATAAAAATAGTTAAATGTGTCAATTGTTGAATTAGTTTGCCATCTTGTTATAAATGTCAATGCATTTTATTAGGTCTGCATTTAGTCGCGTGGATCATGCTTTTGACGGCTCTCGATTCACCTGGTCTTCGGTGCTAACTTTTTCACGGTTAACTGACTCTGCCATTCTGGCTATTGCTATCGGAAGTCATTTAGGTTTTTGTAATAATACATGTTTTTCCATTAACAGACTTCCTCTTGCAGCGCTCAGCTCATTAGTCAATAAACACAAATTATTGGCTTAGTGAACTTCTGTTACGTAATCTCTATGCCAAAGGAGTCTTTTTCCACTGCAACTACCATTTTGTAAAGGCCTCTTTTTCAATTATATGCTCTTTTCCTCAAGTAAATGGGTTTAGATAGGCTCAGCATAGTTGTGAAGTGAATAGTGGTTGGTCCTTCAATCGTCAAAGGGATGCTTTAGTTTGTCAAATCCACTTTCATCATCAATTAGAACAAGATAGTTGTTTTGGTATTGCGGTAGCAGAATGGATGATTGAAATAAAAGAATAAATGGAAAACCTGATTGGTTCCTTTTGGCGATTTGCCTTGACTGCCCAACGTCAATCCATACTATTTCCCTTTGTGTTTAGCAATCTGTAATGGCAATTCAATCGGGTACCTCTCAGCTTGACGATTTTGTCTTCACTCTTCTCTGCAAATGTCCGGCAGAATTTGTGCAGCGCTTAGTTAACACCCTAGCGCGCGGCCTTTCTGACCACCTTTCCAGTGATCGCGGTGTATGGCGTCTCCTTGCCCTCACCCTCCCCTCCGTCACAGGCTCTGGTACCGAAATCACCGACTCCTACTTCTATTGCCAGCGCGGTATTGCACGGTTCTTGCGCTCTGTAGCCCGTGTCTACACTGGTCTTATGCTCGAACTTAGTCCCGATCACCATAAAAAGAAACCGTGCGTACTTTCTGCCACTCAATTCTTGATAGTTCCACTAATTGTTTAACAATGAGTAAATGAAAGCACGGGTCTGTAAGGCAATTCTTTGATCTTTTGAAATAACTTATATTTTCAGGAGTTAAAGACGCTGAAAATTTTAGCTTTCTGGGAATTCAGTAGTGTCGTAATTTGATGGACCACCTGTTACATTTTTGACCTGCATATGTGTGGTTTAACCAATGCATACTCCTTACGTGCATCTCATTAAGTCAATTTCAGGCGGAGCCCTTTATTACGATGTTTTAGACGCTTGGTAACACAAGCACAGCCTCTTGAGTTAGCGCGTTTTGTCTTCTATCAACTGGCCCCCATTGCTCTCCCCGAGCTTGCTTCCCTCGCAGTAAAGGTCATCACACCAGTACGCATCGGTGCGCTTCGCTCTACTGCAACCTTTAATCTCACCTCGCAGCAAAGTGAGGCCATTCACGTAAGTCCATGGTTTATCGTTTCCGTTGCTGTGGTGAGCCAGATGTTAGGCACCACTGTTATATACTTGGGGTCTTCTTGTTAGAGTGCGTAATTTCGTTGCGCGTGAGTAAAAACTTATGATAGTGTCCCAGTTAATGTGCTGTTTCGTTGTAAGTTATGTAGTATTGGCTTCGAAGTCTTGCTTAAGAATCCAAAGTTGGTCTTTCAATGCCGTGATTCTTTCAATCGTGCCAGCGTTGGCGCCGCTGTTAAATCATTCGCTTGGGGCGTATGATACCACGTAAAATCTTTCTTTTACAAATGTCCAGAAACTTCCTCCTCTTTAGTTAACTTCCCAACGTCTGTCTCATTCCTTTGATGGGTCAACGTTGCATACAGATGCGGCAGTAGTCGCCATGATTCCAAGACCATGTTCTCATAAGAACATGCGAATGATCTCCCCTGAGACTCAAGAAGTCAGCAATCTTGTGCGTTTGCACTATGCCTTATGATTATTCAGGCTGGCTAGCTTGAGACTTCAATAGTGCTTGTGCTCCCAAATGAAGGCCAATTTATCACAGTTAATTGAGCCATATCGTATGCCAGAGATTTCACTTTGTTCTGCTTTTGGTTTGGTGAATGGATGTTCTTGTTTCCACCAAACGGTAACTTTTTACTCCAAAAATGGAATATATTGAAGCTATCTGAATGCATTTTGTGAGGTTTTACTGGCGAGTTTAGTAACGAGACTGAATTGGAGGCCCTGATTTCGCGGCAGACGAATTTACAATTGTCATATGATGCACATTTCGTGCCAAGCCAGAAAGGCAGTCACCTTAATAACGGACTTAAATATAGCGAACTAGTTGTTTGTATCAATCAGTTTTAATTGATTACTTTGATTTCTGGGTGGTATACTTACGAACATTGTTCTAAGGGCAGTCCCAACGCCGCGCCCAAAATTTGAAACTGAAGCAGAATAATCAGCTTCATGCTATAAACTTATTCAGTCATGCCAGGGTTCGAGCAGCAATTGTTCTTCATTGCAATCGGAAGCGATCTGGTCTACACATGGTATTGTCATAACCTTGAGTTGTTTATGAAATCGTTTTTATGCATAGCTTTCGGCTTGTGGGCAGTCCTATGAGGCAAATCACATGCTTTCACATCATAATTCTCACGCATTTGCGACCTGAATGGCTCACCATCCAATATTAGCTAGTCTTGGATTGCCACATGTCTAAATGACATGGGACTGAGCTCTGAACTCACGTGTAACGCAAAGACTAAATTTTATCCGATCTTGTTTTTTTTGACGTGACTTTCCTATATATGGAACTAGTCTGTTCAATCTATGCATTATGCTATTGCCTTTGGTAGGTCAACCACATCATTTTATCGTCTTATAGTGTTGACATCCCAGAAATTAGGGACCTCATTTTGTTATAGTTGGTCGATGGATGCCATTTTCAGGAGACGTCACGCAGTGTTGATCCTTCTCGAACAGTTGATCCCTCAAGGTTCCTATGTAGATCCGCGTTCAATTTAACCATTTGGCCTCATTTCTAATTAGGTGAATTTTTGACAGTAAGTCCCATTGGGACTTTGAAGATTGAGAATGCCTTCTCTTGCTTGGCCAAACTTTCCATTGTCGTCAACTCGGACTTCCTCGGAGAATTATTTGCAAAATCAAGTAATTTGGGGGTCGGATTTTGTCTTATCATGAATAAGTTTTGAAGCTGTTTGGGTCTTGTTCCATTTTGTGAGGGTTATGACGGGATTTTTTCAACCCATTAAGCGATTTTATTGTTTTGGAAAGAGAAGCTTCTGAATCCTTTCAGGCCACATCGCATGAACAAGTCCCAGTAGTTGTTCCTGAAGCTGCATGATCCTCAGAATCTCGAAATAGGAGGGAAGCGAATTGCTTGATGGATTCGTTCACCCAAAATTGCGAGCCAAAAATGATTTCTTATCACAAATCGATCGACCAGCAAATTTTCCGAGGACCGATGCATCGTTATTGAAGGGAAATTGGTTGAAGAGGTGTCGTCATCTCCTGTCAGTTCGTGTTCATGGCACTAGATTGTCTACATTAATTACTAATAATTTTAAGCGAAATTGGTGTTAAACTTTTCAAAATTATCAAGGCCATATTACCTTCAAAGCAAGAATTAGATTGTCTAAGGTTTTTTTAGGGCGACGCGCTATGCCAATTTACTTCTGTTTGGTGTATAAACGTCTCTTGAGGCTCGCGAAGCTTTGGGTTCCAGTTTTGGTTTAAGAATTAAAAAAAGTTGAATCATATCCATTAGACTCAAAGGAATTTCATGGGCAGGAGTTTAAAGTATTGTGAGATTGGTTGAAAATATCATGTCGGTCTAACTGCCTTATCGCGAGTTGGTAAGCTCTGTTAATATTTTGGAACTTTCTTTGGCATCCGTTGTGAGTCAACTAGCGGTTGGTTTTACGTTATCTGTTAGGGTTTCGACCAAGTTCTGTCTGCGGAGAGATCCTCGTTCTCCCGATCACGTCAATCGCAATCTTCTACATGCGCCTCTTCTGCAAATGGTTCTTCTGGCTTGGCCAATGCTCTTGACTGTCCCAACTCTGTGATTCGTCGTTTACTCTATGGTTGCGATTCAGCAGGTTATGATACCCCTGCATTGCTACCAACATGGAAAGTCAATGAGCGTCAGCAGCCACTGGCTTCACCTCCCAAAGTTGAGCAACAGCAGCAAGGAAAGCCATCTCAACAAACTGAACGTGTCAGTACTGATGTTACTCTCTACAACGTGGAAGAACCTATGGTGAATTGCACGTTTTCTCCGACCTTGCAAAACAATGACTAAATTTTTATAGGGCTAATTAATCTGAAAGTTGTGATTTCGGTGCTATAAGACGATGAATTTCATCCACTCTTTTTCAACGCTATCAAACTGTCCCATGTGATTGTTCCATGCATGCAATTAGGGTCTTTTTCATCAACCATTCAGAGGAGAACCCTAGTTTATTTTCTACCGAAATTTGTTTAAAATTCTAAAGTTGAGTAGTTCGCCTCTTTCAACTCAAGTGATTTGCTTGACATGCTGAAATGTTCTGTTTAATAACACTTATTAATTAATCTTACGGCAGGACATTGATAGTACAAGTCAAGAGCCAGCTTCAGGCTCCTTAAACCGTGTCAAACGTCATCGCCACCGCAGCCAGAGCAGTGGGGGCGGTGGGGATCATCAAAGTCCCCCTTCAAAGCATCGCCGTCGGCACCGCCACCACGGCAGACATCGACGTAACCGCGACGCTACTGATCCACCGCCACAACCGCCCGCACCATTACCGCCTGTCATTGTGGTTGAGTCTTCTGTAGCAACTACAAATTCCACCGCCTCTACGAATCCCTTCGCTGAGATGGAACTCCTCCCTGCACCCAGCGGCGATTCGGATACAGATGCGGATGTCCGGAGCAATGAATTGGACAGCAATGCTACCACTGCTGCTGCCGCTTCCACCCATACTGTAGAGGAAGAGGAGGAGGAAGAGGAAGATTTCAGTGATACGGCATCAGAGGAAGAAGAAGTTGCAGCGGACTCCGAAGTGGAGACGCATTCCATCACAAGCAGTACTGGTGGTGGCGTTGGTTGTGGTGAAGGCGGTGGAGATGGAAGTGGTGCTGAGAGATCTCTACTACTCAACCAAAATCCACAGATTGAGGCTTCTGGGTCGCAACACAGTTCTATAAGTAGTACAGCAGCCACTGCAGGCACCACAGGAAGTGTTATTATGGATATGGATGCCTCTGTTGCGGGTGGTAGTCTAAGCACTGTCTCAGGAGTAGTAGCGTCAGCATCTTCTCAGCAAGAGTTCATTGCTTCTTATCCACCCGAGCAGGATCAGCAACCACCACCAGGAGGCAACAACACAATGGACGATGATACCGTAGTTGTCACCATGTTCTGTGGCAGTGATGAGGAGGAGGAAGAAGAAGCTGATGAGAACGAATTAGATGAAACCCTTCCAATATCGGAAATGGGTATCGAAGAGGATTTGGATCATGGTACTCGCCGGCGTGATCAGCGTGAAGATGATGTTAGTGAAGTTGAAGACGATGATGAAGATGAGGAGGAGGAAGAGGAGATCGAAGACGATGAAGAGGTCGGCGTTGAAGAGGAAGAGGAGGAGGAGGAGGATTCTGAGGACGATGGAGGTGATTCAGAAGATGATGAGGATGAAGATGATGTTGAGGAGGAAGAGGAGGATGACGATGAAACTGAAGAAGAGGAAGAAGTTGCACAAGGACATGGTGTAGAAGGAGAGGAAGAAGATGAAGAGGAAGAAGAGGACGCCTACTCCCAAGAAAGCGAACCGGTAAATAGGGCCTCATTCTTGCCTTATTGGATGTCTTGGATTTTACTCGCCTCTTGCTTTGTTTATAGAGCCCACCACCGTCTTCTCCATTTTCGCCGTGGTCGCGACATCCAGGTGGGTCGTCAAGTGCTTCTGCTCCCACAACCTCCACAGAAGATGCAACTCCTACAACCTCGACATCCACCACTGCGACTACTGCAGCTTCCAGAAATTTTCCCACTTCTTCGTCCACTTTGGCTCGTCTTTACTCTGCGGCTCTCTCCTCAGCCTTTGATCAACGTAGGTTCTTAGGTGCTTTCTTCTTCCCTTTTAAATCGCGGATTGACCAATTTCATTGACTCATCGCTTTAGGTTCGGGGCGCAATGCTTCACTTGCTTCACGCAACGCTCTAGCGGGTCTGAACCTTCTCAGTGCTCCTCTATCACCGCCCAGAACAAGCTCCAATAACGCAAACAGTAGCTCGACGATCACTACGAATGCTCTCAACGGAGTTACTCCTACCGCTAGTAGCGCGCCCATCGTTGCTATCACCGAACACCCTTCTAATAACGACGCCTCAGAAGCAAAAAAGGTAGGTCTTTTTTCTATAAGCCACCATCATCACTGGGGAAAAAGATGTTACGATAAAAACATTGTTTCAGCATGGGATCCATGTAACGCAAATCCAACTGAGTCGAGCCTTTTCCTGTCTGCTTCGACTTCTCGCTGACGTGATGGCGGATCTCGTTAACCGCAGCAACGAAGGTGTGGATACTGAACCAGAAATTGTGGAAGCGGAAGGGTCGGGTTCCACTGGATCTAACATGAACAACAGCGATATGCGGCGATGCGTCTCTGCACCTGTGTTCGTGCACTCTTCGCTGGATTTGCCACTGTTACGCAAGCTGCGTGTTTTCTCGCGCAAGAGTAATGGCTGCTGTCTTGCACCGCTGCGTTCTCTCGTGGCCGCTCGTCCTACTGACAGTGTAGATCAAGCTCTCATCTGCACCACGGTGGGATTTGTGCTAGCGCCAGTGTGGGCGTGGCTCACCGAAGCTCTCGATGGTTTAGAGTCGCGTCTTCGTGCTAGAGCTGCGTGGAACTTTCAGCATCCGAATGCCAGTTTGGTTGAACTTTCTCCCCTAGATTCAGGTGCGCCTTTCGTTTTGAAGAGGAATAGTAGTCAAAAAGCGATTTAACAAAAACCAGCAATTGGTTTCTCAGTTTAAGGCTTTTGCTTATGTACCGGAAGAGAAAGGGTTGTTTACTTGACCCTTGTCTTTACAATGACTTTATTCAGCTTCTACCCATTTTCCTTAGTGTAGACTAAAAAAAATATTGAACCACTTCTCCTTCCTTCTAAAGGTGGGTCTGACCTTGTTGGATTATCAGTCAAATTTTTATTTTGTTGATTGGATTAAAATAGTGATCCTCCTCATGTTGAATGTTTTGATAAATGTAGCTACTGATAACAGTATCCTTCGGGGATAACTTTTTTCTGGCATTTGTGTATTTTGATTTGATGAATCGGCATTTGGATTTGTACGTTTACGATTCCAGGACTGTAGTGATGCATTTATTCGCCACCTTTCAGTTCCAAGTCTTTATTTCTTGCATCTTGGTGTGCAAATTTTTCCCGAATCATGTAGTCTTTTGGATAGACGATACAGTTACTGGTTTTTCGTAGTCTTTTTAATTCCCAGACGCTAGATAATTAGCCTCTTTTATCTGTGGACTCTTCGGTTTGTGTTGAGGCTTACCTTAATATCCGGCTGTTGTTCTCTTTAGGACTCACTAGCCGTCGGAAGGAAAGCAAGTCGGATCGAGTGAGTTGCTGTAATCGACCATTCAATATTCATTGTTGCGCTTCATTGTCTCAAATGTTTTATTAATTGGAAATGAGCTATTCATAGTCCTAGATGAAGTTGCCAAAAGCTCTGGGGTCCATCATTAATCGCATCGTTTTTATTGGGACATTTAAGCTTACCCCGACTAAGTTTAACCGTTCTACATGTTTTTTCAAGATTGGAGGTGGTGGTAGATCTGGATCCCAACATCAACAGTCTGGTGCGGAGAACACGGCCTCAAATGAAGCCGGATCAAGTTCCAATGCTACAGGAACCGCAGCATCATCTGCGGGTATGGGACACAACGTCAACACCGGTGCTGTCACTACAGGCAACGGCGAGGTTGGTACGGGTGGAGGTGGGAGCGGAGGAAGAAATTCTTCGAATCGTCAACAGCTCCTTAGCTACTTGCTATCATTAATGCGTACAGCCAATAATGATCATGGTGTGGTCGTTCCACCCGTCGATGTCTACAGTTACAAACACACCGCCTACCTCGTTGATGCCTTCCTTTACTTCTTTAAGGTACTGCTTGCTATTAGCCAAAGGTATATTTTTTTATATTAATGTCTGGAAGTACTTTGGGGTAGAACAACGGTAAGTTAATTGTGAATTTTTTACCACTTAATAAAATTTTTTAGAAGCTTTTGAGGGCAGATTTTTTTATTACTCGCCGTCTACCATAGGCGGCGTCGCCGGCAGTTGCAACATTTGAATTTGGTTGATTGACCACGGTTGTGTCGAACGAAACAGGCATAATGGAGCCTTATATATACCGTCACGATTTGTTAATTAAATGTTTACCTGTATCTCCCGTATTTAAACATTGCGGTTTCCGCAGTGCCCTAAATTTTGTGTGATGTAATATTCATCCTGAAATGCGTCAACAATGAATTCAAGTCGGAACAGTATGTCATAGGCAGACTTGGAAACTCGAGACGATAGATTCCACAATACTGTGAATCCCTTAACGAATGTAAATAAAGCTTTATTAGCGACTATTTGCCAACCCATTTCCGCGGCAGGCTACGTTTTTTTTTCAATCTGTAAGTATGCAGATCAGCAAATAACTCCAAGGCATTTCGCTCAAATTCTTTGAAGGTCTTCGAAAGCACATGGCCCTCAGGTCTGGTGCACCATCTGATCCACCTCCATGACTTTGATTCCACCGCAAACGAAGGCATGGAAGTGAGCGAAAAGGAAGCAGATGATCTGGGCACAACTGCACCTGTGACATCAGCAGGATTAACAGATGGATCCAATGCTACCGATAATGCAGTAGGTCTTTTTCAAGGTCACCCGCTGGCCCAACGCTCTGATGCCTTCTTCCGTCGTTCAGCCAGCACCCTCTCTCTTGTTGGCGTGGGTGTTGATCCTGTTCTTGCTCCTGCCTCCGAGGCGATGCCACTGGCTTTCACGCCACAACAGCTTCATCCGAATTCTCGACGCTCTGAACTTTTTGGCACCGTCAGGTTGGTTTTTTCCTTTCCGTCTTAATGTCTCCCACCCCGCTTTTGTACTTTATTTCCATAGCGGCAAGTGGCGTTAATAAGAATTAATCCGCACTACAAGTACTTGTGATCCTCCAGTAATCTTGGACCTGTGTTTGATATAGGCTCCTTTTAGAGTCTTCTGTTACCGCTTGTGCCCTATTAGCGGCGGCGGCTTATAATATGGTGGGGACGTCCAATCTTTTGGCGGCAGTTTGGTGTTTGTAGCCGTTTATCGTAACGATTTGAGTTTTAGCGGATTCATTTCCAATTCACCATTTATCAGTCTACTTTTTAAGCATTGAAAACAGGGCGTTCTATGACACCAACTTTAGTAGCCCTCTATTAATGGTGAAATTAATATCAGATGCATTTGTGTTTCTCAATTCGTTATCTACTTTTCGCCGGTTTTCACTTCGGTCAAACCAAGCATTTTGTTTTCCCGTACTTGGGCCGGGGTCGACAAATTGGTACTGCAGTTTCGTTTTTTTAAGAACCTTATCCAGCTAATTCTACTGCTTCCATTTCTTCATCAATAGAGATTTCGAATCTGATTTCCTCTCTTCCTCTGTTCAACCCGAGAACAAGGTTAGTTTTCGCGACAATGAGGCAGATGTCAAGGCCCTGCACTACATTCGGATCGGAAGGTCATTCAAGGACTCGAAAATGGGCACTCAAAGTAAGAAACAAGTGTCAGGATTTCTTTCCCATATCCAATCGTATCATTTTTCCATTGAAGCCGCTACTTTTTATTGGAGAAGGGAATTAATGTGAGCCTTTTGCAGCATACCCGGGTATTTTTTGAGCTTGTTTGAAGAACTGTGTTAAATTCCTCCGCGTCTTCCGTTCTCCATTTTACTGGCATCAAAATTGGCGTTTCCTTATATTATCCTGCATTATTGCACGTGATCGGCTGTAATTTTTTAGGTTCATTCTTTTCAACTTAGCCTGCACTAAGAATAGAGGAACCTCAGTGTGTTGTTTTTAGTTTTCTACAAGGACACTGAGTGAATATTGACTTGGTTCTGCTTCAGGCAGTTCGTTTGCTTTGAAAAATCATTTGAAAGTAGTTTGCAGTAATGTTAAGCTATGTTTAACCACAGATGAAGTTTAGCTTACTGATAGTTTTTAGCTTGTTTTTAATAACGATGTCTGTTCTCTGTCAGCGAAAGACTCCCCTTAGTTATCCTTTTCTATTACTAAAACATCATTCACCTTACTGATGGAGATTTTATAGTCTATGATAGATATTTTGTAATCTGAATACGACGAATCGAGGTTAAATTTTAAGTCGAGATGTTTTGTTGTTGAAAAACATACATGGGAGATGACCTTTCTGGTACCGTATTGTCACATCAATTGGTTTGGTGCAAGAACTTAGTGTTGTGGTTTTCATTTTTAGTCATCTCTCTACCATCCTCATCTTTTAGTGCGCATTTTATGGCTTTGTTAAGGAGTTCATACCCATTCTTTTAAGCGCATCTGCTCCTAAAGTGGTGCCTTAATGCTTCAGGTCCCCCTTGTTCTTCATTTGTTGCAATTCCCAGTACCTTCTTACTTTTTCGCAATGAGGTTCAACTGATGGAGCAATCTGTCCGTATGGGGTACGGTCGAGTTAATAATGGTCAAAGTTGGATTCCTCTTGTATCGATAAGGCCACCATCGTATGATATACATATTCGAACTTCTCATTTTACTTGGTTAGATGTAGGGCAGAGATTTATGTTCGTACTTTACTTTTACTCAGCCAAAGACGATGGTGGTACGACGTTGCTCCGTTCAAATTAATTTTTTATTTGGTTTATTGCCGCACTACCAGTCTTTCACTGCGTCTCTATCAATGCGTTTCGCTTTCGCCCTTGCAGTCACTTGGGGTGGTGAGTTCCTTGACACAGCCTGCCACACGGGTTCTGTACTGACACGCTGGTGTCGCAGCTTGGAGGCCTTCAGCCAAGCTTTTGCTGAAGATGTGGGCTCGGAGCATCGCAGTTACATGCTCGAGTTGGCCCGCTTTCCTGATAAAGAGGCGCGCTTCCGTAAGGAGATGGAACGCCTCCGAAATGCTACTCGACGTGATCTCACTCTTGAGGTAGGTTCCTTCACCCTTTCATTTCTCACCTTCATCTCCTCCTATCGAGGTAATTCACCCTCCTTTGTTCTATTCCCTACTTTGAACAACTGTAATCTTTTTTGAGTTGTCTCCTTCAGCGCCTGTTAAGTGGTGTCAATTTCCTCCAAATCATAACTTTTTTCACTTCAATGATGATTTCTTTTAATCTCTTTAAAGCTGATATTTTTTGGATTGTTTGCGTAGCTGAATTTACATTTTGAATTACTTGTTGATCCACCCGTTAGGTTGCCATTAGACAAATATATGTAATTTGTTGATGCACAATAGAGGTCAGCAATTTGCTGCCTTCCAATTGGGCAGATGGAATACCTCGTTTCCTGAACAGAAGGCTCCCTTCATTCCTTCCGTAGGCATGAGGAATGAAGTGTTTTATCAAAATTCGCTTTTATGACGGATCATCTGAGACATTTTGGCTCCTGGGCATGGCATCCCCAACGCTCCAGGTAGATTTTAATGACTAGTCTTTTGTGTCGTGCATGACAGTGGGTTGAACCAACCTGTAAATAAATAATTAGAACTGCAAGTGTAAAATCAATCAAAGTAAACTTGACATTGTGTTAAGCTCGTTCACAAGCCACATACCTTTGGTACTTGTCCGTGTTACCTTATGGGATGATAATCAATGAGCAACCCATCGGTTCGTCTTCCTTTGATCGGCACAATGGATTTTCCAAAAATTCCTTCTCAGTTGCGCATTTTTATTCATCAATACTCTTACGTCGGTACTACCGTCCATTTTCGCTACCAGAATGTGAAATTCTGCTGTTATTAGTAACGCAATGTGGCGGACTGGCATGCAGGCTTTCGATTTCACTCTGTCTCAGCAATATTTTGTTTCCACGAGGCATTTCGGACTTTCTTTTGGGTTAAAATTAGTTCTTCCTGTACTATTTTTGATCGTGGCAAATGGTGTTTCCATTCTTAATGCTAGGATGTTTTCTCTGGCCCACTGTTAGCGATATCTATCTTTGCCGGGAAACTTTTAGTCGTGAAGTCTCCCAATTTCAGGAAATTGCTACCGTATCAACACGCGTGAATTGAATGACTTGCTTCCGTAAGGGCGTATTAGTATTGACCTCAACTCTTCACTCCTTTCCTGTGGTGACCAATTTCTCTGACCAAATATCTTACACCTATCTCATCTTTACTGTTTCTATACAATGAGTCTTTAACTGCCATATGCTTGGGGTCCTGGGCGTAAGAAAGAGATCGGAGAATTGTGTACATTAATGGTGACTTAAAGCCTTAGTTTCATTGTTGTCATGGTAGTTATTGTTATCAATTTATGCACTCATCTATATTTCGTTGGCGTCACAGGTAGAACGGGATCCAAACGCCCTTATCATCTCCACGGTTCGCCAGTTGAACACCGAGTTCAGCCGTCGTCTCTCTCAAACTTCCACGATCACTCAAATGCTAATCATGCGTGACTCGCTTCCATCCCGTTACTCGGATCTTCTACATATTTCCGATGCTGCCACTTCGCAGCAACCTTCTCCGAACCTCTCTGCTTCTGCCTCACCAATTCTCTCCTGCCGACGATTGAAGGTCACTTTCAAGGATGAACCTGGTGAGGGCTCCGGTGTAGCGCGGTCCTTCATCACCGCTTTCTCCGAAGCGGTGCTTGCTAACGTTGCTCTGCCCGATCTCTTACCACTCTTCGCCTCTGTTACTGGGGCTCCCAGCGCTCCCTCCGCTGCTGGTTGGTCTCTTTTGGCTATCTCCACACTCATTTTTGCTCTAAAATGCTTAGTATTTTTCTGTCGACCACAGACTCATTTCAGCCAAGATCGCCCTCCCTCTTAATGGCAGCAACGTCGCGTCTATTGACACGCCTACGATTACCCTACAGTTCACATGTTACTTCGGTGCAGCAGCCTCCCTCTACTACCTCCACCAGCACCACGTCAGTAATTACTCCCGCAGTTTCTACCAGACTAAGACGCGGTGACTTGCATGCGGTGGGCCCGGCTTCTCGTGCCCTCTTCCGTAATCCGGTCACTTCCTCCATCTCCATTAATCTGTCTCCCTCTTCTTCCACTAATGTCGCTGCCGCATCAGCACCTAACGCCTTAATGGAGCGGGAAGATGGGGAGAGAGAGAGCATCGGTCCTCAGCTGGCTTCCTCTCCTTCAACTTTGAGGTTTGTAGCGCGGTAGTTTAACTTGTCCACTTTGGGTTTCGTCTTGCAACCAAAAATATCATGAGTGGTAATTTGGTTTGGTTGATGCAGTCAAACAGAATCCCAATGGTAAACCTCAGAACAGATGGTTGTAATCCAACGTTAATAGTGGCACAACTGAGCTAATCAAACTAAATGCTTATCCATTCTGTGCTCCGATGACGGACTCTTCTCACATATTCCTTTGTTTTAAATTCAACCAATAATTTTGAGACAAAATTTGATTAGTTCAGTTGCCATGGTTTACTAAAGGTCATCTTTCACATACTTGTTGCATATGCTCCGGTTAACTGATTTTTCTCCCTTCCTCCCATGGTTCACTACGTCGTTCACATCTCTTATTTTTTTACTGTTCGGCTTTTTTGTCTTACTTCCGTAGTTACATATCTAATGCAGAAACGCACTGATAGACCCAGTTTCATTTTTATTAAGCAGCATCTGGCTTTTTCATTAACCATTCAAACGATGCTACTGATTGCATTTTGAAAATCGCTACATTGCTGGCCAGGCTTTGAGTTAATTCATGTTGATCCGCATGGTCTCTTGGGAATTTTGATTGTTACGTGGATAGTATCTTAGTGTCGACTTTAGTGACAGTGTTTCACTTCATTACGTTTGCATTTTGTGAATTCCACGCTTACTGACCAGAAAATTTTTCAATTTAACCATTTGATGCGTAATTTTTGCTGCAAATTAGCCATGTTGGGCGATTATGAAATCCTTTGTATCATAAGTACACGTTTTTTCCACCTTGAATGGCTAATTAATGGCTTCCATAAACCTTTGTTGAATTTGACTCAAGTCATAGTGCGCGATTCCACTTGTGTTCTGTGACAAGTAGTTAATTTGGGCTTTATATGCACGTTTTGCTGATTGTAAACACGGGCCAATATTTCCTTGATTATCTTTTGGCCTCCCATTGACAAGCAAAACTCACTTGTTCTTGTGACTTGGATTTGAACTTATGCTCGCAAGGTCTGTCGTGTAGATTAAACTTCATTGTTTATTCACCACCTTTTTCGAAACATTTAACAATCACTTGGTGGCAGGCAACTGTCTATCATCATTGTGTTTCTCTTTCAATCATCCACACTGACTAAACTCTCTTGAAGAGATGTCGTTTTATTCGCAGCCTATAGAGATGTAATGTAATGGCCATAGTTGTGAGTCAAATATGTCGTACTTTAAATGGATCAGAAGCGACTCATTTGGAGGCATTTTTTCGTCCGTTCCTCCTCGATTTGACATATCTCAGTTGTTTTGTACCTCCTAGAGTATCTATCATGCAGAGACCGGTTTAACCTTGAAAAGCACCTAACGTCTATGCATGTGGCAAATGGCACGGTCAAATATGGCTTTATGAATGCTGCCAAATGGTGGTATTTTCATGTACCTGTATTACTACCATATGCATTCATTGGTTCAGGCGTTCGACATAAATGTTTATTTTACTAATTATGTCCAAAGTCAGAGGCGTTCTCCTATGGCAAGGCGCCTCTGGTCAGTTATTTTGTGTCGAGGCTATTGATTCCGGGGTTAAGTGACGAACGAAGGGATGAATTAGAGTGCTAATTCTCTTTTTAACTATTTGTTATCAAGTTGCTAGTTCTTCCAGTTCGACAACCTTGCCACTGAATTGTTTCATTCTTGCTTCGAAACCTGAGTATGAAATGGTTTTATTATTTGAAACCAGTCCACAGTGCACTGAATTGGCTTTAATATTTTATGCCCGCATATATGCATGTGACACGACGGTTTCACTGTTTGACCTCGAAATTCCAGGCCTGGAGCTTACGATTACAAAGTAGATGATAAGACATTTGACTGCATTTTTTCCTGTCCAGCGCTCAAATTAGTTTGCCGCAACAAAGTATCTGCCTTTCATTTGAAGGTCATCAAACAAGCTTGAAGGTACCTTTTCCACTGCACTGGGCTCTAGTTACAAATATCAGAGATACATCTTGGTATTATTGCAAAAAACAGGAGGCATTGCCAGTCGGTCACTTTTTTGATCATGCACTATTATTGCTAAATCCAACTTTACGATAAGTGCGAAGACGTCCGGTGAAGTGCCAACAACGACAGCAGACACGGTCAGTAGCGGCGTTGAAATGGCGGAGCGTTCACCCCTCTTCTGGCAGCCTGGCGTCACAGGCTTCTATTCGCCTCGTGGTGTTGGTTCAAACCTGCCGTCAGACTCACCTGAACTTCTTTGTCGTCTCTCTCTGTATCGGTATGTGGTCAAGTTTAATCTAGTTGGTAGGCATAGCTATCCAACTATTGTACTAGACTCTACCCATGGAATACGGGTTACTCGTTAACTTCATCACAATTTACTTTATAAAACAATGTGCATGACAGTTTTTCAGGGCAAGTTTTAGTCAACTTATGCTTCTAAATGGGGATCGGCTTGGGCAAGGCAAACACTACAATGGTTTTAACGCATATAACTGGATTAGGGGTCTAAACCCTCTGCATGTGCTCCATCGATTTTTTTCGTTTGAATTCTGCCACCTTGGACACCATTTCTATCATTCCCATGTCTAGGGCAAATAACATTGAATCTTCATTATTTGCTTCTAGAAAGTGTTCGATTGACTGGAAATCGTTTGTGTAGTCTTGAACTGTCTTGTCTCTTTACCCAACATTAATATTAGAACTTGTATATGCAATGCTATTGAATCGAAAGTCGCGGGCTTGTACATTATTTAAGCGGACCACTGCCTGTTATTGGCATTGTAGAGGTTTATCAGCTTTCCCCTTTTTTGAGCGAGGCCAATCTTACCGTTTTACTTCCCAAGTACCTTATCAGTACCCAAACTGTTTCATAATTCCGAAATTAGTGAGACGTGATTTTAGTTTGTCTGCTTTTAAATTGGTCAGGCTGGTTCATTATGCATATGTTTTGCGTTGCAGTTGCTATTGTGATGCGTCAGTTAAAAACATGTCCTAAATTGCAGTTGCGTCGGCCGAGTGATTGGTTTGTGTCTACTCTTCAACGAGACTTGCCCTTTACGCTTCAACCGCCATGTTTTGAAGTACCTCCTTGGACGTCCACTGTGCTGGCATGACTTTGCTTTCTATAATACCACTGTTTATGAGGGTCTGCGTCAGCTCCTGCTCTACACCACCTCAGAAAGGACTGAAGGCGTAAGCACTGAGTAACACATTGACATTCAGTCACGACATCAGCTAATGGTGTTGCGGTGTCATTTAATCCTTATCACAGAAGCTGAATGCACTCACTGAGCTTGTTAATTGATGTGGACTAGTTCCGAGATTTATTACGAGTAGTTCGAAGAACCAAATGATTCTTCTCTATTAACCCGAATGCAGCTCTTTTTCCCAACTTGTTTCATGCCTAGCATATTAGATATTTTTGATGGGTTGTTTGTAGCTGCTTTGATTGTAACCTCCAGGAATTTCGCACCATTTCTCTCCATGGCAAGCGTTTCGAAACCACGCTTCAGGTGTGGCAAGTTGTCTTCTTATTGTAACTGAGAGTAGTTGTGTCATTACACAATCTTTTTTAAGGCTCCGGACTCGATTAAGGATTACAGCCTTACTTTCTCGCTCATAATGGCACCGGAAGAGGGAGGCGGTGTTGGTGGTGACGGTAGTGGAGTCGATATTGGCGGTTCGCCTGCGCCTCAGCAACATCTCCTTGTCCCTGGAGGTGATGAAATCGAAGTGGATTCAGAGAAAATATACGAATTTGTCAAACGATATACTGAATTTAAGATGGTCGAAGCCGTTAAGGAACCTCTTGAGGTAATTTTGTGTTTCGATTGCTTGAAACCGCCTTCCTTTATGGGCGTGAGTGTTCTCTCATTGCTTCGCGTTTTAAGAGGATTTGAAAAAATTTAAATTTAATACAATTTGCATAATTGAGGCAGCTTTGCCTTAGACCATGCGTGAACCGTTGTGAAGTAAGATACTTACGGGGAATAAACATGGTTTCTAATTTTGCAATAAAATCGCTCTTACTTGCTGTGCTGAAAGCTACTTTAAGTAACAGCATCATAAACGACCATTATTGTTCCATTGTCCAGTACCGGTGCCCCATTACGATAACAAATCTCTAAAACCCATATTGTCATTTGCCTACACCTTTCCAGCAAATGCGGCTGGGTGTTTTTGACGTCCTCCCTGCAAATGCTCTGGATGGTCTGACTGCGGAAGACCTACGACTTCTCCTGAATGGCATCTGGGATGTTGACGTAGATCTCTTAGCTAGTTACACCACCTTCCTGGACGAGTCTAATTGCGGTGCTGCTGCTGCTGCTGCCGCCGAAGGGGGGGTTCAAGGCGAAGGCGGTACTGACAACAGCACCACCGTTACTGCTGCTAACGAACGTGTGACTCGTCTTAAGCGCTGGTTCTGGCATGTTGTTAGGAGCCTCGATGCTCGCCAACGTCAGGATCTGGTTCGTTTCCTTCCCCTCTATACTACTTATTTTGATAAAGCTCCGGTAATTTTAGGCTGTAATCGCGTTCTCTATTTTCTTTGATTCCAGCTTTTACCAAACCGTTCCTATCTCAAGGCGTGCTGGCGTTCTCTCGAACTTCTTTGCTAGTATTTTTTTAATAAATTCAATTTTGTACCGGAAGATCCAAGCATAGCTACTGTTATAAGGTTGCCTGTCAGCGTTTTGAAATTGTGTATCATCAATGCAGGATTTCAATATGTCGTCCCCAACCGTTGGATTTAACCACCTACGGTTATTGGTTGCGTTGTAAGCCGCCTGAAAGGCAATTTGCTGGTTGTGAGGTCTTATAAACCAATTCAAACTGCATTCTTTTTTGCAGGTCCTCACATTCTTGTCTATTATAGTATTGGGAATAAGCCCACCACTTCCGCTATTTATGACTTTGGTCGTCTTTCACACTAGTGGAGTTTTTTTTATTTTAACCTACTTAGCCGTATATTCACATGAATTTCCACTGCTCAGCACCTATGAGACTACTGATTGGCTCTTATTTCTATAATTACTAAGACATCCATCTGACTACTTAGTAGTCGCACTTCATGTTCAGAAACAATCGGATTCTCAGGCGAGTTCCAGATTTTCTGCAGCTGATAACAACGAGGCTATGATGTTTCTGTCCATCTCTTTGGTTGATGTAATCCCAAATGTATTTATTTATGACTAATCTAGGTATCAAAAAACCAATTGGCAATAGTTGCATGATTAAGCTGAGCATTTATCACCATTGGTTTCGTTTTGTTCTCAGCTGTACTTTTGGACTTCGTCACCGGCCCTGCCAGCGAGTGCGCAGGGCTTCGCACCGATGCCCACCATTATGATCCGACCGGCAGACGACCAGCATCTGCCTACGGCGAATACTTGCATCTCACGGCTCTACTTACCGCTCTATTCCTCAAAGCACATCCTCCGCGAAAAACTCCTCCAGGCTATTGAGACGCGCAGTTTTGGCTTCGTCTGATTCTCGTCTTTTACCCTGCTAGCTCACTGCATAATTCTACGTTGTGTGCGCGTTTGAGTATGTATTTACGACTTTCTCCCTCCCTCTCCACCATCTTTCTGTTTAACTGTATGCAGCGGAGATTCGACTGTTTATTCATTTGTCCTCTTTGGCAGTCGTTTGGAACTGACGTTTGGTTCGTCAAATTGACAAAGATTGGAGTTCCTGCGGCGAAATTTGTGTATTGGTGGTATTTGGCTCAAATTGTGGCAGAATAAATTGCAAGGAACCAATTGTCCTATTTGGTGCTAGTCATTCATCTCATTAATTGAGCGGAATGAAAGCCACATTTGTCGGAAGGATCTGCAGAGATAACTTTGGCAAATTAATATTTGTGGTAGCAGCATTTATTCCCGCATTGCTTCTGTAGTTGGGTCCATTTCTAGATCTGGTCATCTTAGTGTTCAAATCGGGTTGCTCTCTATCCTGGTGAGGTCGTTGAACTGAGAGTGAGCCTCTTACCCTGATTTGCTTCTACCCTTTCTCCGCTGAGGCTGCTAGACTCGACTAAACTGCATCGTGGTCCTGCGTACTGGTGTGGTGTCCTGATGATTGCATTGGGTTTTCTTTTTTTGTATTTTTCATCATCGTCCATTAGCACTTAACATAAGAACGATCGCGTTTTAACGCTGGCAAAAAGGAAACGAGTCATCCGAGTCAGCGGTCTAGGTTTCAGTTTGTGGCAATAGTTCTGCTTAACTGATTTCAAAATAAGAATGGAATCTAACATGTGAGAACCTGTCGATTCTGGTAATGGTGTCAGTGAGGTGCTCTACCATTATTTCGACGGTATTCTTATCTTTTAGCTTTTCCACAGGATTCTCCACGGGGATCGTCGATCCGTGGAAGTCCGAGAGACAATACTTACAGTGTTGGTTTGCTCAAGTCATGGCGTTGGAAGATGGCACTAATGCGCCTAGACCAGTACATTTCATTGTCACATTTCCGGCTGATCAATTTATCCTGCAGCAAATAGCTCATGGCTCCGATGAAACATGAGCTTGAACTTTCGGAACGTTTATTAAGTGTTGAGAATGCATTAGTATTTTCAATTGATAATGAGAAACGATTCGATAATTAGCCAATTCAAGCAATTACATATTAGCTTCACCTCCATAAACATTCCTATTTTATTTTAACGCTAGCCCATCATTCCATCAATTGAAGGGGTTTACAGGAGACGTCGACAGTTGTTCATTAAATTTGCCGTAGGACAAAAATAAACAAATAACAACCCAATACAAGATCACCCCTTTGTCCCATCCTCTCCAGCAGCCACGACCTCGACTGCATGGGGTGGAAGCGGCATCTTGAAGGTGGGCCGTGATCGCTGAGAGGATGTTGTAGTGCCTACCCCTGATCCCTTTGCCGAGGCATCCTTGCACGCTGCTACTACCCTCTCCTGACATATCCATGAATGCAAGCTCTGAAGAGCCCGCGTCAAACCACCGAGGAGGGAACTGAGGCAAACGTCGTTGGCCTGACGCAATACCGAGTTCGCATCGTCATCCCCACTCACGCTACTGCTGTTGCTACCACCACTGACAGCGCCGGAGTCAGTGTTCTCTGACTCGATACAACGAGGAAGACGGGAGAGGAGAGCACGAATTTCGCGCAGTCTACCGGGATGCGAAGGAAGCTCGCCATGCATCACAGCATCTACATAATCGAGGAGGAGATGCAGTCTTTTGGAGAGCATCTGTACTGCATGAAAATTTCCCATTAGGCACTCAGCGGTGGGAGAAATGTCGTCTGCAGCACTGCCTACACCACCGCTCCTCCCATTAGCACTGTTTGCGGAAGAGTTGACACGGGCTAAATGGTCTACTCCAATGTGTTCAATCGCGTCATGGGCCAAAGTGTAGGGTATCTGTACACAGAAAAGACAAAGAATTTTGCAAAACTTAAACACCCACGCGAAATAGCAGCAAATGAGCCTAAGAGGAGGAGATGGGAAATAGCAGAAACGCATTGATCAGCCAACTTTGTTATTAATGCCGTAGTCATGTTCCACTTTTGCTAATAGCAACAGGTTTGCCATCCCAAGAGTTGTGCTGGCATATCCTAACGAGCGAACAACCAAATAAAAGACGTCTTTGACGATGATAAGAGATTAATTAGATATGGCGGCAAAATTGCTTTTATTAGGAGGGATCTACCCCATAATTCCTGAATAGGGTTGTCTTTTCATTTGTGCATAGCTTGCTGAGAGAATGAGTACCATTTCTGCTTTAGGAGGGGGATGAAAAATATAGGTTTACACCTTCTGTTGATAAAGGAGAGAAGACCAACAAGTCATAGAACAACACAGCTATTAGACAAAGAATAAGCTTAAGGTTTGCACAAAGAGGTGTAGCTAATGTCTGTGCTCCAAAATACCTGACTTCAAAAGAAATATTCGAGGCATGAAAATCGATACTGCAAGGGGGACAACCATAACCTATAGACAGTAAATCAACAGATATTTAAAAAATTATTTTGCTGGAAACTCCCAATTCAAACCAAGGACACACTGTCAGCCAAACTGGAAGGTGATTAGTTTATTTAGACACATTCACTAGGGAACAAAGCGTTGATCATCCCTGTATACATGTACTCGATGGCCTTTCAGCTAAAAAGAACTTCAGGTCGAGATGCTACCTTAAAGATGCTTCTGAAAAAAATATTGGAAGCTGTATTATGTTCAGAAAATTACTTCGACAAACGAACGATTGAAAGTGCAGAATGAGGGCAATTTCATTCCAACTTAAAAGCATATGCTTAAAAACAGTCAGCTACTCAAATAATGAAGACTAAAGAAGTAGTTAAAAATGCCATGGAATTGAGACAAGTTGAAAAGAACGTACTAATTAGGGTACTGAGTTCAGTCAGACCTACCTGCTTGAAGTCAACACGAGAATCGCTCCCGACCACCGTTTCGTACACCCTTATAGGAAGACGTTCGCCAGACTTTTCCAAAGGATTTAGCTTTAATATGATCAGCGACTCACCGCCTTCAATAAACTACCAAAATTGATGTTAGACGAACCAAGCAGCCTACTCGAGAGTTCAGGAGCTTGTTTTCATCGGTAATGGGTCCTCCCGTTGTATACCAGCCAATTAAGTCCAAACCAGGATATACCTGTTTAAATTGACTCTCTCGAGCAGCAAAGTATTCCCTATCCACTGTCATATCTTCGCTAACCAGGATCTCGTATGAGTTGAATATCTAACAATCTAATGTGAAGAGAGCATGAAGCACACCTCGATCTCCCGTCCTCTATGCTTTCCTAGTAACGCTCCGTAAACAACAACAGCAGTCGAATCCAGAGCTAATTTCTCCCTCATCCAATGTTCTGACACATTTAGTACTACCAGAGGATGCACCAACACTGAGATGTTGTCCTGACTGGAATTCTCATCAATGGGACTGTTAGGCGAATCGACATTCATCTCCTGCAAATGCTGCGCCTGGTAGTTACAAGAATCATTAGTCAAGCCCAACGACCTTCAGCAGCCTTGAATCGATTGGGTGAAGAAATCCGCTTCTATGCTGTTTCATTAACTAATTACTCTAGAAAACTACGGATAATATTGGTACTTTTTGCTGCTCATGCATACGTATAAAATATATAAGTCGGTTTTTTGCTTCCTTTCTCCATAAAATGGATGCTTGTATGGTTGCAGAATTTTGTTAACCGATAACCAGTAAAGACGAATCGCATAACTTGATCGAGATTCTATTAGTCCATTGCCTTGCGGCACCTTGTGAATGGCAGCCACCTTATAGACCATCTTGCCTTTGGCCGCGTGAGACCGTCGGCGGACCAGGTCAAAGCCTCGCTCCTGCACCTCCAGATCGAGTACTTATATTTGACTATGCCAAAGGCCTTTGACCACCGAACAAGAGATAAATGGCGAAGCATAATAGATATGTCTCGTGTCTACCATTGCTTTGGTTTTGATAAATGTTGCGAAGCCTTAGCTCAGGTGGCGCTCAATGAGCCGAAGATTTCCAAAGCGTTTATAAAACGCACCAGAGTTAGTGGTAAGTTGCTTGATACTTTCAACTCTTAATATTGAGGTGAGCCACCAAATGCTTTAATTAGGAGAAATTACTGGCCCTCTAGCGCCCTGAGACTAATGTCACAGAGCTAAGTCAGTATAACAATTACTAATATGCATCTCACTTGTATCATTTATAAATTACATTGTTTGATGGTCTAAATGCTCTGCGATGATGCCATAAATCTATCTGGGCCTTCGTGATCATTCATGATTAGTCTAGCAAAGTCATAGTCGCGTAAGTGTTCGTCTTCATTACCTCACACAATCGATTTTACAAGATTCTCTGCGCGGGTTCAGGTGATCTTACGTAAAAACATTTACGCTTGAGCATTGGCACACGGAAGTAGCAGAGAAAGATAAAAAACAACTTTTGTAGGTTTGAGCGGACTTTATGAATTTTCAGGCAGTGCTATTTGAACTCTGTAATGCTTCAGCTACCCTCAAACAAGTGATATAGAACGCATTGCCCTATAAATTCCTGAATCGCCGTATTACCTGCCACAAAGATATTCAAGATTACAACGCTAGTGTACAGCTAGCGCTGGATCTCTCCTAAAAAGCAGAGTTAATTTTGAACCCGAGGAAATATCCTTTTAAATTTTAGGCTTCTGTCACCTGTCTGGGTCATGTGGTTGCAGACGATATGATAGAAAATCACTAAAGGACGCATATAACAAGTGCGAACTGGACAAAACTTTGAAAAAATCTTTGCGTTGTAAATTATAAACACCTTTTCAAAGGTTTTGTTAAAATTGCAGGCCCATTGCAAAAGCTAACGAAAACAGCCTACAAAAGGGCTTCTGATGGGAGCGTTAACATGACGAGGCTTAAAATAACTGAATCACTTGATCTAGTCAGCATGGATCCTGGCTTAAACAAACTTAGGAACGAGGGCTACTTCTTTTGTGCGTAGCCGTAACCAACGTACTAGTATAGAAACGAAAGAAGGAGAGAATTTGTCATCGCCTATGTGGGCTCTTAAGTAAACAAGAAAGATGAGTTAAAATTGGTAAAATGAACGTAAGCTACTTGCTACCAAAACACGAGCCATTATTAAAAAAACCTAAATAGAGCCAATCCTGCAAGGGTTACAGGAGTAAGTGGCCAACGTAGGTTCTCGTTCTCATAAACTTCTGAGTTACTCAATATCCGCCGAACTTGCATTAGTTTTGGACGATCCCATGACACAGCGATCGCAAGCCCTCGACTCATCCTGACTCAGCTTCTGGTCGAAAGGTTGGGTGTAGACACCATAGGTCCACTCAGGACAGTCAGGAGTGAAAAAACATTCTAGTAAGGGTTGACTACGTCATGTGAGCGTTACCAGTGAAAAACCTGAATGTAGAAGACGTTGAGGCAGAAGCTACCTCTTTTTGCTGCTGTTCTACCTGTCAGCATGAAGTACCACAATTTGCCCATAGCAATCAAGTCTCAAATTTCATAAGTAGTTTTTTTGAAAGAGCTAGGCAAAACTTTCGATATTTTCACGACGTGCAAGAGGCAAGGACACGCGTAGGGTGGCGGAAAGGGAAAATGTGGGAATCGTAACCTTGTTGCAATTCTGAAGGCTTTTGTTTATTATGCAAAACCCGAAGACTGGGATACGCAAATAAAACAAGCTCTTCACATTTGCCAGGAAACCGTCCACACCTCGGCTGGATTCCTGTCTCTCAAGATTCTCACGAGTCGTAAAATGAGAGCTCCTTTCACTTCGCAAGGAAGCAACGTTTGATTAATCTTTCCTCTTATGTACAGCCAAAGAAAGGACTAAGACGGTGTGTAAAAAACAGAAATTGGACGACACACATAGTAAAACCGTTATCTAGCACGAATGAGCCCAAATCCACACCTGTCCCACCACTGTACTATCACCGGAAATCCTATCATCCTTAAAGCAAGGATCCTATTCATGAGGTAAAGTTTCTTCTTATACAAGCTACTGGGCCCGAAGAGCAGAACTCCAAACGCAACTAAGCTTCATTCATCAGCCGAAAGTGGGAAAGACTTTTACTCAGTGAGAGAAGGAGAAAAGCCCCTAGATAGCCTAAAGAGAAACCTCAAAGCTAACAATGGGGACAATACTCGAGATGGAACCATGCAACACATGAATTTTTTGAATGTACAATTAAGGAGGCAAATCTCTCAGCTCTAGAACGATAATAGGCATTATTTATTTATTTCGATACAGCTATGCAAAAAAATCTCCACTGAGATAAGAGGCCTTTAAAAACCCTATCACAGCCAAATTAGAGCATTCTGCAATTCATGCACAAACATGAATGTTACTATTTCAAGTTATTAAATATAAATGGCCTTGTATTAATATAGCCTGTAGTACTAGCAATAGTATTAAAATAAGGCATTTGTTGCATTTTGACAATGTACAGCATATTTCGAGATCATAAAAGGCATGAAATGAGTAATTAGCAAGTGTAATAATCTACAGTATGGGAACACAAGTAAATCTTGACGAAATTGTGCAGCATGCACTTACATTCATGAAAATTTTCAATGAAACCCTTTTGAATACGTTGTCCTTGTTTAAGAGGTTGATTAGATTCTCGCGCAGTGTATACGAATCGGCATGGGTAGGACATTCTGGGTCTGATGCTTACTTTATCGCTTTATTGTCGAACTGTTGGGAGGGGTTCTTGGATTAAAGTAACATTTTCTCTACTCTATTGGATTGGAATCTTATTCATTGTTGCGATTTTTTGTTTTACTCTGGTTTTTAGGGATTGCTCGTGATAGAATCCACAAGCGAAGCAAGACCGGTGGGCGTCGTGAACGCAATCGTAAAAAGAGGAAATATGAGTTGGGTAGGCCCGCTGCGATGACTAAACTAGGTCCCCGTCGTATACACACTGTACGCGTCCGAGGTGGAAATATCAAGCTTCGCGCGATGCGTTTGGACCAGGGTAATTTTAGCTGGCCCACTCAAGCTATCTCGCGTAAATCGCGAATTATCGATGTCGTCTATAACGCTTCAAATAATGAGTTGGTGCGCACAAAGACTTTGGTTAAGAATGCAATTGTCCAAGTTGATTCTGCTCCCTTTCGTCAGTGGTACGAGGCTCATTACTTGAAGGAACTCGGTCGTCATCATGCTAAAGGGAAGAAGGTCGATACTACTGAGAACCCTGAGGATGACGTTCTCCTTAAGAAGCGCAGCGCTGCTGTCATGAAAAAGTACGAGGCTCGGCAGAAGCTGCCCCAAGCAACTCTTTCTGATAACCTAAAGGATCAGTTTATGTCGGGTCGTCTTCTGGGTAAGGATATATTCTTACCAACTTGCGCCTTTTAGCCTGTATTTCCTCCCGACCTGGTCAAGTGGGTCGTTGCGACGGATACATCCTCGAGGGTAAAGAGTTGGACTTTTACTCCAGAAAGTTGAAGGCTAAAAAAGCTAAGTAAACCCTGTAATAAATTGTGAGGACCGATCATGTCCGTTTTGTTTTGTTGGTTCCGCAGGGTAATAGCTCCTGGTCTGCATATTTCAGATCAGGTTTAATGCTCTGCTATAATGATTCCATTGCTTCCCTTTGGGATCAGCGAACACATTAGCCGTTGATTTCGGATCCTATGAAAGGCGCATCCTCACACAATTACCCTAGTAAAGTTTGTTGAATTTTGCATTCTTGGCGTGTTGTCATTGCACTCCACTGGTTAAGGGTTGTTGAGTAGTATGGTTCCTGTATGATTTTAGCATTGCAATCTCAAAACATTGGGTGTCGTGTCGGTTTCGGTGATTTCGTTCGCCCTAGCAGTTGTGGGTTGTGATACTTGGAGGGGGAGGGGGTTTGGGTCTGTGCGCACACGTCAGTCACTCGGTCAGTGATGACTGGTGAAGTCCCGCACTCACGGTTTGGTGCGTTCTGTTCCATTATGGCGTTTTCTAGGCTCTAGTGTTCCCGCTTATCTGTTATGCCCAGACTGAGTGTAGAACTCTTGACTGCCAGTTATTCATTGTGCGTGATCGTTCGAGTTTGTGGGAGCGATGTATTGGGGCTGTGATTTGTGTGATCAGATTCACTCAGGCAGCAACCTTACTACTCGGAGGCAGATTCAGGATCAAGATGAGGAAGACTCGCTCACCTCTATTTTAAGGCGTTTTGATGATTTACTTTCGGCACTTAAGCCCCGCATCAGTGTTATGAGCTGCCTGCGGTGTTTCATCGGCTTTCTGGGTGGTGTTCCCGTTCTCTTACAATCTCGTTCCTAGTTTCAAAATATGGGGGTCACGGTAGACCACTTCGTAGACAAGATGTTCCTATTTGGGAAGATGAAGGGTTAAATGGCGGATGCAAATACAGCGTAGAAATATTGGAAGAATCGGGTGCTTCATGCATTGGTGAGTGGTCATGTATGCGTCATTTGCCATTTGGCAGCTGTCGTTTCCATCAGTTTAGCCGCACATTCGTGTCTTGTCCACATATCTTTGGGTGGGTGCAATCTTTTGAGGTCTCTTAACAAGGACTTGAACGGGACTGATAAAGCTTATTGGTCGGATATTTCACACCTTGTGGCGTACATAACCAACCAGATCTAGAAAATAGGGCTGCAGACCATAGTAGTGCCTGAAGTCCTATCAAGTCTACCATCTTTTCTCTTAATGTGCATGCGGAAATTGCCTTCGCATGGTGGAGTTACTTCGCATCATGTGTCCAAGCTACACTTGAGGCACCGTCTTTAACCGGATATACTCATTATTGGAACAAGCCATGAAACAGGTTTGTCCAAAGGTCAAGCTACGGTCGCCTTTAAGCAAAGGTGGCGAATAGTCTTGAAGGTATTTAGACTCTTGTGTTACATACAAGTTGACTAATAAGAGTTGTGCAGTTTTTGGTAGGACTAGTTACATTGGTTTGGTGAGGTGTGTACAAGCTTGATGAATGCGTGCAACCTAGGTGCTACGGCTTCCACAGCAAACGGCTGATCAATTAACTGTCTGACAGTAGAAAACATCAACACTGCTAAGTTTATTGAACAAAAATGGTTCGCTTGCCGTTTTTACATTAATCCATCCACTATCTTATATACTTCGTGACAGGGAAATCATTCCGTGCGTTACTTTGGAGGGTCGCAGACGGAGTTGGCCTGTACTACTAAGCAGACAGTAGCTTTAATTAGTTTGTATGTCCAATAAAAGTGGATACGATTTAAAAGATCCATCTTCTCAAGTAGAACTAGACCATCAGTGGGATGGTACTTCCAGCACAGGACGAAATCCCCAACTTGTTTCAAAATTTGTCAGTCAGATCACTCCATAACAATTTGCATTGCTTTCTGTATTCTCTTGACGGTATTTTGTGAGCCATCTAATGTCGGCAACCTTAACGTTGTTGTCAGGTTTCGCAAGCAACATAAGATCGATAGTCGAAAATGGAGGAGCGGTACCAATGACAGCAACTTTGGCCAAGTTTTCTTGCTTCCATATTCAAAATGTTGCGTTGATACTTTAGTTTCAGTCAAATCGCACTTCGTTTGGAAGAAATTATTGGTTTTGATGTCTGAAGGCTCGAAAGCTGGTATTCTCATAAAAAAGAGAAAACACATAACTATTTACTTACGTTTCGTTGCAATTTGCGGCACGTAAATCGCTCAAGCCACTATTAAAGTCAATTTGCTCCGAAGCTACAAATAAAACCTGTGAAACTGGAAAGTCCACAAAGATAACACCTCATAATGCGCCATAAACATTGATGACCACATCACTTACAGGACCAACACCACACTGCTTTATGTTTTGATCCATACGCTGAGATTGTGTAACTCGACGTTGACAATGAGAACAACGTGGCCGCAGCCATGGGACGCCTTGAAGTGATGATACAGCCCTGAGTTCGTGCAAGAGGTGCTACTCCTCAAGCCATGGATACTTTGCGCTCCTGACTCATGCCCTCCAGTCAGAGAGCGAGCACGTCGATGCACCACTGTGCAAGTATTGAACGTCTTACTCTCTAGGCTCCGGGTTATTCTTGGTCTCTCAAGTCATACGATAACTTGTAAGAAGCCAATTTGAAGACACGCTTTATGTTCAATATGGACCAACTCACCTCGGTTACAATTACACCCAAGTGATTTGGTTTACCTTTTAGGGAAGGTAAGCAGATTCAGATTTGGAACTCGAGTCCACTGTGCTGTACCCCACTGATTATAAACCAACGCAACTGACCGTTTGGCTTGGCCAACAGATACAAGAGTTGTAACCCACTAGCTGCTCTGCTTCGTGAGCAGCCAAAACGATATCCATTGGCAAGGAAATATCGATCCACATACAGAGAACCTCACAAAACAATCTTACTCCCGGATGAACCCGCCGGAAGAAATTCACTGCATTTAAAGAACCTACCACGACCACCCCTGCGCCAATATCATAACCCTATTATCCAGGAGACAAGAAAAACCAATTACCGAAATGATGTCTAGCAGTGCTCATGCTGGAACTCGAAGGTTATCTGAAAAAAGTTTATAATCCTCCCTCCCACTGCATTTAATGTCTGCGTCTAAACCAGCCTCGCTCATCCTCTAAACTCACCTCCTGATGTTAAGCTGCTCAAAGGGATTCCAGCAACAACTTCCGCATATTCAGGAGCAGAGTACTGTGAACAAGGTATTGCCAGAACGCCCGTTGAAAAGGCCACTTCAGAATAAAACAGTGGAAGTCCCGAAAATATCCAATTCAAGACCCAAGTAACAAGTCTCACCATCTTTGAAAAGCGTTTCATTTAAGAATACAGAATAAAGTACGCTCTCTCAAAAGTATAGAGTATAGTCGATGAGAGCATTCTCGTCCCGGATCAAAACAATGGGATGATACACGCTTACACACACGCAAAAGCAGTACAAAAGCAGCACGCACACACGCAGGCAGGTACAGAGGGATGTGGTACAGCGTGTACAAGATTTATTAATCAGCCATATCCATGCCAGCACCAACGCTACCGCTACTAACGCCACCTCCAACACCGCAAGGTGTTATCACATTCATTTCAACACCCAAAGGGACCAGTAGACCTGGCACTTCTGCCTGACGTTTTAACTTTTCCGCCTGCGCGGCTGCGATTTCCGCCTCTCGCTCCTCTAAGTAGAGGTCAGAAAGATCTTCGCCCGTAATCTCACGAATCTGAACCAGGAAATCGCGCAGATGCTCCCTGAACGCCGTCACATCAGTGTCTAGTGCAAAGAGACCCTTGATAAAGACGACTAACTGAGCCTCTTGAAGGTGGGGAAAGGCCTGCTTCAGTAGCTCTAACAAACGCTGATGCACATATTGTACGTTGACCTCAGGAGGCACGTCGAACTCCGGAGACTCACCACCCAACGAAACTGTTATTACACCGTTCTCCACCATCTTGAACATGTAGGCCAACAATGAGGCCTGCAGAGTCAAATCTAATAGGAGATGATTGGTAATTAGTCGAACTTTTATCACTTTCCACAACGCAAAGTTTCCGCATTGCTGGAAGATTAGAATTGGATATACCTAGGTTTTGTATACTAAATACTTGGCACATGGTAAATGCACCACAGAAATACATCTAATTGTGCTAAACGGGAAGAAAAAAGGTACAGGATCTACTTGAATACAAAAGTTGTCAATTTAAAGTGAGGCAGCAAAAAGCATCACTTGCTTAAAGAATTGCCCACGAAAGCAGGAGCAGGTTTATCGCCGAAATCGCCTAACAGGCGATTTTAATAGTGGCAATTCAAAATGCGTGGAAAAAAGCATGGTGATCTTACTTCCAGTTTGAGAACGGTCGGTTACCACGGCAAACATGTGTTGCATAATTTCGATGTAGAAGTTACGGAAGAAGAGCTGCTGATTCGGAGAATTGACTGCTGCGAGGTTGGAGAGCATGGTATGGAGGATGTTGAGGCCAGTCTCAGAGACTTGCCGCATGGTGTGCTTGATGGCCCATATGACGCTATCAAGGATAAGTTTAAACTTTTCAGCAGTGAGGGTCATAAGAGCGGAGAAACAATGTGCGTTCACTGCCTGAAGAAGAGTGAAGAAATTGGTGCGGTGCTCAGGGAATTCTTCTAAGTCCTTGTTAATCATCTCCAGGGTGCACTGAAACACTGCGTCAAGAATTCGCGGAAGGGAGCGCAGCACGTTTTCGCTGAGGCGGTTTACGATTGTCGCCATAGTAGTGAGTACCTCAGGTTCGCGAGAAATGGGTGGACTCTGCTGATAGTCTGTCGCTACGGCCTCCAATAGGGGTGGAAGGAAGTCGTTGGCTACCTAAAGAGGAAAGCAGTGCCCTATTGATTCTTCTGTGCAACAACATTACTCCAAAACATTTGTGTTAACAAATGCCTATGATAAAACTCCAGAAATAACAATAACTATTCAAAAAGAACAGCGTAAAGCAATGTAATGGAATAATTATTTGCAAATAGTGAATATTGAGAAAAAATGGTAGAAACAACGCTAAAAATGCCGAGTTTGATGCACAAACAAGCAGATTAAAAATCAATACTTTAAAGTTGCCTCGACATTAACCACGTAAATCGTAGCAGATATGATCAGTAGGCTTACTCTAGGAATCTAAGAGGAGTCCCAATTCCCCTGAACCTAGTTCAACGATCGCATAGATTTGAAATGATTTACGAGGTGCTAGCCGTGAAAGAAAATAATAATACTGACCGGAAAACTTCCAAAAAGAACTCAAATCCAAGAAAAAAAGGTTTTATAAAACCAAGCGTCTCCTAACCTAGCCATCATATGAGACTTTCAAAATGTTCCTTACAACGAAAGTCACCACAAAATCCAAGCCTACCGTAGGCCAAATACTGAGTGAGAACGAGAATATTCTATTAGCGTTGCTTTAAAATTTGAACTCTGCTATGCATTAAGAATAAAAACGAAAAAATGTATCAAATAAGTACCAGAAAATAGTGTAGATGTAGTCTCACGCGACAGAGCATTTGTGCAGCATCAAGACTTCAAAGTCCACACACAACTTATAGTAACGGTTTTTCAATATGTAGAGAAAGAATAACAAGAGCCAAAAGAACAGAAGCATGAAAAGACGCACCAACACGGGATTATGACTCCTTTGAATCCAGCAGGAGAGGAGGTTGAGTACAGTCTTCTTAACAGCACGCATTGACCGTACCAAGGGTTGCTTGACAATCTGTTCACCATGGGTAGCAATAGAGGCGTTAATCTGTTCCGAGAGCAGTCGGTAGATATTGAGCATATCGAGGTAGATACGACATAGCTGGACCATGTAGGCATTTCCGAGAGCCCGGCACGCAGCCAAGTTGGTCTTAAGGATGTTGCAGAGCTGTTTCACCACCTCTACGTCTCCCATCACGGTCATGTCTGCAGCCACGCGGAGGAGAATATCATCCCAAATGGCGTTAGGAAGACGGAAGAGGCCCTCCACAAGATCGTTCTGAACCGACCGATCTGTTTCTGCACTGATTATCGTTGCGACCGCTTCATAGAAAGTATGCACCTGCTGCGGCTGCAGGTCTGAGATTATGGAGTCAGTACTGCGAATTATATCCTCCACAAAGCCACATGCTGCACCGCACTGCAAAATCAATATAGCGCACCCGACTGTCCTATCAACAGAGCCTTTGAGGTAGAGGCTATTGCGTACGATTTGAATCGGGTTTAAAAAGGAGACCAAAAAATGAAGTTATGAACACAAGCTATATAAGCCGCCTAAGAACCTATTTGAACAGGCGTCATCGAATAATGTCGAGTAAAACCTGTTACTTTACAGGTCTGAAAGAGACTTCTCAAGTGAGCGCTCAGTCTAGTTTATTCAGAATTAAAATTCTAATAATTGGCGATAATGAGGATAAGGCACAAATTGGAACACAGGTCAAATCAGCACGAGTCACCAATACCAAACCCTTAGTCATGAATACGGAATCAACACAGTACTCGCATGATTGATATAATGTTGCACTTAGCACAGGAAGGGATCTGAAAAAAGGTAGTGTGATGCAAGAAGTGACTGGAACGGTCAACCAAATTGGTGGGTCCAAACAAACTCATCACCAGTAGAGTAGACGTAAAAGCTGATAAACCAACCTGAGGAATGAGAAGTTGCCTGCGGCACTTTTGCGCCACCTTGATGAATGTATCACAGGCCATATCCTGAACGCCCTCATGAGTTTCGTGCATGAACTCAAACAGCTTTGTGATGACAGTCTTGAGAAAGCGCCAGTGCGCTCGCAGAAAGCGTGGATACTGACCTACCACGTACATGATATTGCTTGCAACGATGGCTTTGTTGTCCTTCCCTCGTTTGTGCTCACAGAGACCCAACAAATCGCGGATGACAATGACCAAGAAGGAACGTTCGTTGTCTTCCATCATCGCACCTGAGATGCTGCCAATGGCCCAGCATAGAGAGTTTAGATTAGCACGCGACCACTCCGTCCCATTCACCTGACACTTCAGTTTCCGTAGCATTATCTTCTCTGTATCCTGCAAAGCAGATAAAGTGTAAACAGCTGTCCTTCAGTCTTTACAGAATATCTACTTATTCCGCTTCGAATTTGACTCTCATGTCCCACAAATAATCTATCCAAAAGCTAGATAACACTGATTTGTCAATTCTCATGATTACCTTGGCTGCAGATATCAAAATAAGTCTATGCAAGTGCAAAAGTAATACATTGCACCAAAAGGTGACTAAGTCTTAATCCATGCAAGAAACACCAATGAATACGGGGGATGATATCGGAGAATACGAGGACCACAGATGCAACATATTTCGGCGTTGTTTGGTCAACTATGAGCAAAAGAACGAATAGGCAACCGCTAATACGCTGACGTTTTCCTCGATTCAATGGTTGACAAATGAAAAACCAAATCAGCGGTTCAGACGAGAGGAGTGGATTATGAATCAAGTGTTTCCAGGAGAGATATCAACCCAGTAGTATGGAAATGTGCAAATATGATTACCCGTGTATGAAAGGAGATGGGGAGTAGCAATTCAGGCCCTTGAAAACTTAACGATAGTTTAAGCAGCCAATATTCTAAGTACTGAGGTGACATTGATAAGAAAGCCATTACTACAAGGATACTATTATACATGTACTTTTAAAGCCGATTTAGAGAAACTATTGACCGTAGAAATAGCAAATAGCACTCCCCTCCCCGAGATATGTTGCAGAAAATAAGTCAAGTAGGGACAAAAACGTTTGAAGCGGCAATACTTGAGTCGAGAACAGGAACGAGACTCCTCCCCTCCTCCTTGAAGTGCAAAAGTCAGAATAATTTAAGACGCAGTATGGCAGGCACATATCCCTTCCAAAACCCTCCATCATAGGTTAACATTCGTAAGCACATTCACTACGTTTGGCAAGAGACGGCCATCAAACCACTTAAATTTCAGCATTAGTGAAGCTACAATTCAATAGACAGTATACATTAAATCGATTTACACACAAACCCAAGCACACCTTCAACTACCACTGGTTCTTAAAAATACCGACGAAGTACAGAGGAAACAATTCGAATAACTGTCAGTCCGAAATGCATCAAATCCTGGAGCAAATGTATTCACCAACCTCATGATCAAGGTGCGTCAAGTAGATAAGCGTCTCTCGCATAGTTTTGTATAAATTCAAACTGTCCGTATCCTTCATGAATTCCCTTACGACTTCACCGTGCTCATTCTCAACAACAAGAACCTCCTCTGGCCGTGCCATTCGTGAGATCAGAATTGTCCGGAGCTGTGAAGAAGATCCAAAGAACTTTAAAAATGAAGCTCCAATGAGTACAACGCAAAGAACCAAATTGGAAACGACCAACCTCCGACAGAAGTGGCGCGAATTCTGCCCGCGAGACTGAGGGATAATGAAGGGAGCGACACGATATGCTAGCCTCAGTATACAGCTCGCAGACCCAATAGTCCCAGTACTCCAAACAAATTTTAAATATCTCCTTATCATCGACCTCAGAAATGCGAAGAAGATATTTATATGCATCGACTAGTTTTTCTGTTAGTTCCCCCGACTCAATGAGATCACTGTGACATTTCAGAAAAGTACAATAAAAGATCGCCAAAATTTGGATAAAGTTCTGTTCGTCTGTTGTTCCCTTCTCGTAGGCCTCGCGAATTCGAGTAGAGAGAGGGAGCATCTAAGGAACTAATTAAGCTTTGCAAAGGCGGGGCCAACCTCATTCAATTTGGCTGTTGTGAGGTTAAATAGCTCAATGACTTTTTTGGAATACTCTTTTGCAGGGACTCCGGCTACAAATCATGAAACGGGTTGGATTACACAAACATAAAACCTACCAATTTCTGCTAGGCATTTAAGTGTGACGTTTCGAAAAACGGGCACGCTGAGAAAGCGACACACAAGACTCTGGATAAGATCGGTTTCAAATATGTAGCCTAGTGGGATCCAGTGCATAAATCGGAGGAGGGTCTCCAGTGTTACAACAACCAGCGAGGCATTCTGCGAAGTCTCCAACACCAAAAGGCAAAGTTGAAAAATCATGCCAAATTCTTGACACATGGAGTCCTTTAGATGCTTCGCCTTTGTTTGTGTCATCTGTCCCAGCGAAAAGTCGAAAACTTCTTCACTCAATAACCGCAAGATGACCATATTATTCTGACATAGTGACTCGTTGGTCTTACTGGCTCCAACAATATCGTAGATGAAGTGAGGCCAATTCGTGGGCCATTCGAACTTCAAAATCTGTAGATAATGCACAACATCCACGAAATCACACAACCTTACCTCGACCAAAATCATGTTGAGCTTACTTAAGTATGTTTTTTCGCTCTCCATAAGATCGGGATTAGAAGAGGTCTGAATTATTAAACCAACGATGTACTTTTTGATGCCCTCGCACTGAGGTCGGGCCAGTACCTTCCACCGAGTTTTTATAAGTGACTCGAGAATCTGGAGAGCAAAGTACTTGGTTTGCTGAGAAGAACTAAACTCGAGGATACTATCGACACGCGTCCAAGCCTCTGGATGCTCCTTGAGAGCACTCAATATCTTTTCTGCGAGTTTCTGTTCGTCTCCACTGGACTTGTACATAGCTGCGACGACCTCATCGAGCAACTTGATATCGAGGGGTTGAGAAAAGTTTAAGATCTGAGCTGCTGTGGCTTCCGTAAGCATCATCGATCTATAAGGGAGATATATGAAGTCATATCCTCCGTTACAAAGAAGCCTTTAGGCACCTCCATAAAAGAACTCAAAACCAAGGCCACCTCTAAATAAACACTACGAATGAAGAAAACGATCAAGCATGACTAAGCTAGAACTACAGTGGGCCTGTGGAAAAAAGTACTAGTTAAGGATTTTTAAATTATGAGATGGATGGATGTAAAATTTATCTGCCAGAGTCCGTAATTTAGTCAGCGTGGACGGGAATCTCACTTACAGGTAAATTTCCCTCGACAGGCCCGACCAATCAACAAGACGACAATATATAACCGGTCCTGACTGGATTTCAATGATCAAAACGCGCTCCGTTTTTTTAGGTGTCTTAAACAAAAAAACATTTAAATGTAACAAAACTAATGAACATTAATCTTAATGGACAGTTTTGATTGGTACTTTAAGTCAGGTCAGAAGAAGTGTTATAATTATGATGGCATGCCATTGCGTTCCGAGTTTTCTTTAGAGACATTAGAAGACATGCTTACAATATTCCTTTCGACTGTCTTTATGATTGGCGGTGTCTTCGATCGCCGAACTGCTTCTACTTAGTGAGCTGATCTTCGGGACATACCAAGGACCCAGAGGAAGTCCCGAGACACTACACTGGTGGCAGTTAATTTGAAAGACACCTCTGGTTCATCCTATATCCTGTTCGTGGCAATTCTTGACTTGCGGGTAAAAGGTATGCTTTCAGCCACAAGAATCTTTAGTTTCTTCATAGCAAAAGGGTTGAGAATAGCGTCAGCCTTTGGCATCTGCTCCATTCTTGGGTCAGTGTCAAGTTGGTAATAAGTGGAACAACAATTAACGCAAAACATGCAGCTTAAGCTTAGGGTTTCGTTCACCACATTCGCGTGCAAATGTCGATGGCGGTCGCGCACTAAGCGACTATAAAATGCAACTATTTTAAATTGGTGTTTCACCATCTGACTCGGGACGCGATTAATTCGTCCTCTGACTTTAGTTACATAAAGAACAAAATTGTAAATCTGGATGAGGCTTTAGAAGGCAGATGCAATTTTCAACCCTTCTGCTGGTGAGGAAACCAGAGATTCTTTTGCCCAAAGAGCATACTCTTTATTTACATCACAATATGGTCACAAACAACAGAATCAAGGATATGAGCTGATTCTGAGTTATGTTTGCTTTTCGCTGTCACCAGCGTAGCGTCTCGAGACTTACCATTAATCAAATGCATTCAGACAGTAATGAAATAGGTCAGACTTTGGCGGAAACAATGTGGTGACCAAAGCAACCGCCAATCCTACGCGCAGTCAAATAAAGGAACTATTGCAATGATAACAAAACCTATTCCAGGGTTATTAAATGGTTTTTTAAACCTATAACTTGAGTGCGTTAAGATCTCCATTTTGGCCTTATTTCCTGCAATGCTTCAAAACTTGTTAATCTTCCTGTCACGTGCTTTTAGCCACTTTATTTTGTAGTTAAATCGTTTTGTTCACTATCGGGTAACGATGAGATGACGAAGTCACCAGAAACACGCGTAGTTTCTTAACTTCAGCACGTACAGTAGACCTTACCTTTTGACAGGTAACATCTGCAAGCAATGTTTGAGACCTTAAAACTTACCATAACTTGCTTCCAATAATTGTAACACGTTTCTCACGGTATGATGGACAATTTGCTCAGCTGTACGATCTCAAATTTGTTGGCATTTTATTCCTAACGAAAGGTGAGATGTTTGATGGGCAGATATTTACAAAATGGAAGATTGCTACCTCATGGCTGTGTTTGATTGTAAATCGGTGTGGTGGGTGTTGGGAACACGTAGGTGCATTTCGTTACTGGAATGTATTTGCAACCGCACAAAGAACGAGAATCACACAGGCGGAGTATTTGATGAATAGAAACAGCTGGAGCTCCAAAAATGTGCACTGCAAGTATTGGCGACAAATGAGTGGGAAAAGAAGGTCCGCCTCCTCTAGGCTGGTGCTGCTTCCGTCCCTCCTGCGATGACGTCGGCATCCTCGTAGAGGCCGAGCGAACGCAGAAATTGCCGCTCTTCTGCCAAATACGCCTCATATTCAGACTAAAAATGGTGACGAGGTAAATATTTTTACAACCAATGAGGTAAGTCTAGGCGTGATAAATGTAATAAATGTAGGGAAGCCCCCAAATCCATTACCGTTGGCTATACACAACTTAGTAAGCTTGATTGAACTCCCTCACTTAGGTGACCTGAACTTCATAAGGCAGACAGTAAAGCGAAAGGTGACCGTAAATCCCAAAGTACGTATCACTGGCGCAAAAATTAAAATATGGAAGAACATAAGATCTGCATATTCAATCAAGCATTTGGTGTAACACATAAGGCCTCAAAAACGGCAGAGAAATGCAAATTTTAGCATTTTCAAGCACTTTTATCCATTCACTTCGAGTCATTCTACTGACTAGACGGCGTAGACGTTGGAAATTGGACGAGTGTTCCAAATGACTTGAGACACATTTTGCCAGGCTTTAACATTCGTGCTATCATGGTGGTGCTACATACCGTTTCCTACAATTTTGGTAACATGCAGGCTCAAGGTGGGCAGCGCGGATATTAACCGCTATTAGGAGAGCAGGATGATTGTACCTAATTATAATAAGGCAATCCACTGCACTGTGATATGCATTAAGCTCGAGGAAATCCTGAGACGAGCGGTCCTATCAGCCCACTATCAATTCGCCACTTTACTGTGCAGGAGGACATTGCGATTTCAAGTGCCCTCTTTTTTGAAACTTGAAATTATTGAATCATCTTAACTGGATTTGTAACCATTTTGAAGAATAATTATTCTCTCAATTAAAAACCACCACCAAACCCGCATTTTCTGCAGCTTCTCAGTAGCAGTAAGTTCACCAACTGTGGAAATGCCAGCGAGGTGTTTGCTCTCCGCTTCCTTCTGTAAGCGCTCTTGCTCACGCCGTTTCCATCGGCTCATCACAAAGGCGCGTCGACGCACCTCGCGGTCTATGTAACCTGCCATCGCTTCCAACTCCTCCGGTCCACCAACTTTAAGCCGATGTGGTATCTGAAGAGTTAGTAGAGTTAGGTTAGGGACAGCCCACCCTTACCACCCAGTGATGCAGTGGTCTAGAGGATAGATGGTAATGCGGTCCCAGAACACCTCGTTCATTTGATTCGGACAGGTGAACAGTTGGAGTTCGGTACGATTCTGTGTTTACTCTACGGACAAAGGGCTACTGTTTCGGAGAAAAAGTATGTCCAATCCTCAAGCCACTTTGGGCCAAAATTTGACAGAACAACTACTTTGAAATTGTGAAGTCAGTGACGAAACCAAATAAGCTGGCGTGATATTAGGGCCAAACCTGCCACATTTTTTGAAAATTCAATATTACATGATAGAAAAACAATCCGTGAGGAGGACAATAAGGCCAATTGAATGTTTATTATCAACTCACAAGAAGAATTTTTAGTGCTCCATGCATGTCCCCAACAGCAAGAAAGTGTTTTCGGCTCTCCACTTTAATTGATAGGGCAGTGAGAGCAGAGGAGGAGACGGTATGCAAGAGTGCGGGTTCATGCGTCTTGTCTAGGAGATCCCAGGCCTCCAGAACCCCATCAGCACGCATAATGTAGAACACGGAGGATCGGGAAGGGGACCAAAGACCACCTAGAAAAAGATGATGCCTTTATTTTCGTGTCCTGGACAACTTTAGGTGAAAGAAAAATCATTTCAACAATAGAGGGTTTTCGCATTTCTTTTTTTTAGACCAATCATTCATGAAGCAATTCCTTGAAACTTTTGATTTCAAATTTCATGAAGGTGGGTCGCTTGGGTAATGGGACGTGAGCACATAGCTTGATTAGCACTGTTGGGTACTCGCTGTCTTTAGCAATCTGACTTACCAGTTGGCGCCTTGGCGTAGGCAGCGGAGCAGAGGAGAGGTCCTGAAGTTACATTTTCCTTCCACATGGACCATGTAAAGCCGCCCACACAGAGCACCACCTCGGGTAAGAAGGGTGATCGTGCAATATAGACTATGGGACCATCGTGCAATTGGGCCACAAAGCTTGGCATTGGTGTCTGTCGTTTGGCCGTCTTCACATCTTTCTGCGGCATCCAATCCACGCACACCATATCTCCATCTACGGTGCCCACAAAAATGACTGAGTTGATGCCATCCAATGGCTGCGCTTTGGGTAAACCCACACGATTCGGGTCATTCTCAGAGGCTATCTTTTTGGCGATATTGGCTTTCAAGTCAAGTACCGAACGGTCGCCTTGCCTCTCCTGGATGCAATTTCATTGAAAAGTACAATTCAATGGTCGAACAAGCACCTTTGACGTAATAAGTCCGTCTCAGACCCCAAAATGATTGGAAATACAACTGCTATTTAACTGGCTCTTTTAGAGGCACTCAGAGTACATGCGTATTGGCCTACCAGTTGGGTATTGTGAGACAGCACCGACGAAAGGAGTTCGACGTAACTGTTCGCATCGCAGAGGATAACATTAAAAACACTGAGCTATTTCAACCATGCATGAATTTACCGCTAACCTTCAGTCTCATTCATAAATAGATGTTTTGTCACAACTTAAGTTACATATTTCCCTATACCTACGTGAACCTCCTTGCTGCGATGAAAAGTCATTTACGTTTCCCAGTCTTTTCACCCAATCCACTTCTGTAACAATTAAGAGAACAAACGGAGCATGAAGGACAGTTGTATAATTGCTTACTCGAATGCAGAAACAAGTGGGACAGTGATCCGGTGCATTATCCGGTCGGAAGAGATTGACGTGAAGCAGGGGCTTCCACTTGGCATCCAGTGCATTGAAGGTTGCTGGAACGTTGTGAGGCACAATTATCTGGTCGCGAGTCTTATCCACTGCCAGTACGCATTTTTCCGGCCGTAGATCCCACACGAAAATTCCACCGTCAGTTGCACAGGTGAGGAGCTGTACGCAGCGCTGCGACGTGTTCTCGTAGGTCAGGCCAGCTCGGTCCAATTCAATGTGGTCGGGCAACCATTGCAGACAGGTGATGGGTGTGGCGTGTGAGGCCTCTATGTTACTAGCTGCGCACCAAGGTATTGTTGGCACCTTCAAGGTAAAGAATCATCTATCATTATACTGAGTAAAATTGCACACACACACACAACCTCGAAGTTTGCTTACTAATTCGAGGTTTACAGGTTTAAAGGCGTGCAGGTTTTCACTATCGTAAGTAGTGCGTTGCTTATGCATATCGGTCAATACTCATGTCATTTGCCATTCTTTTATGCTGCAGTTACCTACTGAGACCGTCAAACACAGTAGGCTATGAACTATTTGATACGATCACGTGGACATGACTCCCACCCCTCTGACTAAGTAAATGAGTTGAGCAAAGCCCAAATTACTCATCTCCAGATTTTATTTTTCATTAAGGCAATTTATAGACTCACCTTCTGACTTTCATTCTCATCAAACTGAAAAAGCGGCAATTCCTGTTTACTCCTCAGTTTCTCAAGCACGTTTGTGAGATCATGCCTGGAAAAGTCCCACAATACGACCTCGCCATTGTTGCATCCCCCAGCAACAATGTGCGGATCGGTTGGATTAAACTGGAAACAATAAATATCTTCTGGAGCTAGCAGCAACAGCTGCGGCTGAGTGGGATCATGGAGACTCCACACAATGATGTAGGTTGGGGTCATCAACACACGAGATAGCTGACTCACAAGTTCATCGTAAGGCAGCCTTTCTACTATTGACATTGCCAATACGCCCTCAATTTCGGGATGCCATTCGATATGAGAGACAGCTTTGTCTTTGGTAAATCTTAGATCAGAAAGTGTGAGAATCTCTTTAAAGTTGTTTGCAGATTTATTGTCGTAAGTGTCATCACTGAAACCTAACTGGGCGAAATCGTCTGTTAAGAAATTGAACATTAGATTCTCCTTTAAACCTTGTTCAAACAAGCCAAGAAGATTGCTTAGGCCACCAATGGGCTTCTGAGACGCTATCTTAATAGCGCTAGTCTCCTTCTCCTCCATTAAAGCCAAACGAGGAATGTACTGCACCACTTGATTCCGCGGATAAAGCCAGTCCGTATTGGTGCAATGGTCACATCTACTATTAACACATGTGACTCCACGCTCTAGTTCCATGACTGGAATAGAGAAGTTCTTATCTTCATAGGGTTTTACCTCAGTGTATGCTGGGCCCTCCTGACCCACATTCAATTCCCTTTTTGCACCGAAGTCACGTCGAGGGCGTTCAAACTTGCTTACAACTCGAGCTCGTGTCTCTACGCATCCCTCTTCCATAATTTCCAAGTCAGATCCCTGATTCGCCCAAGGATGTTCGATACTAGGAAAGACCCATGTGACATCATCATCAGCTTCTTCGATTACATCGACCACAAGATCCTTCTCATTTACCTCTAGATCCTCCAACCGGAGAGTATTATCCAGATCTTGAGAAAGGATCATGATAAAGTTTCCATCAAACTTCATCTTCTCATCCACGATGAAAGTAATAAACTCTCCGGGATATTCAGCAACTTTCTCCCGCACTGCAACTACAAGAGCATCAGTAGTCTCGGTGTGTTTGAGACTTCGGAGAAGACTCTCCTTTTCGACATTCAGTCCGACGTAGACGGAGTCCTCAGGGCGATCCACCATAGCAACAGAGTCGGTCATCGATACGTCAGATTGAAAGGCTCCCAGTGCCGGAGTCATACGTAAATTAGCGATTCGCTCATTCAGTCGTGTAATGGTGCGTGCACCAAAGATAGTTGTTTGTTGAAGGCCGTTGAATTTAAAGACTAGAACGTCATCGTCAGGAAGAGTTTCCTGAGCCATAAAGTCGTTGATAGCTTTCTGATCGTACATCTCCTCCTCCTCCATTGTGCTCATTGACCTTATCAGCTCATCTTCAGTTAGATCAGGCAATGTGGAATGCTTCGGTGTCTTCTACAAATGCAGGCAAATTGCTTTCATGACAATTTTAATGAAACATGAATTTTTAATTTGCCTTAAGCAGTTAAACTAGAACCGGGAGCTCACCAAAAGTTCTACGGTACTAATAACGCCCAATAATATTTTTTTAAAAATCTGCAGCACATTTAAGTGAATTGGTTGTGAAATGTCAGGCGAAATAGCCATCAGAATTATTTGTAATAAATCCGTTTTTTCGAGAGCCTTATGTGCAAAAATGGTAGCAGCTACTAAGGCAGAATATCTAACTGTAAAAAACACTCAAAGGATAAAGCAAAACGAATAAAGAAACCAAAAAGGAAGCAATCAAGAGACAAACAGACTGTAGTTTAGTTACTTTCGCCTGTGCTTTGCCACTTTTTGAGGCCTTGGATCCGGGATGGGCAAAGGCTCTTTTCTAAAGGCAATACAAAATCGCCAACTTCAAAACGGAAAATAAAGCCCTACCTACCATAAAATTGCCCTTGATTTAATGTATAAACAGTTATAACAATTAATAACAGTTAAACAGTTATAAACAGTTAAACAGCACCATCAATGTTCTGTCCATTTGCAACGATTTTCACAAAATGAACAAAGGTAAAAGAGGCTAGACGTTACGGAATCGATAGAAGAAAATAAGGTAAATCTTTACCTTCGAAGGAGATTTGCCTCCTCTTTTCCCTTTAGACATTAATCGTCTAGATTTCATTCTCTCAGAGTGAATAAAGCGTCAATGCTAGAAAAAAATGAGTAGAATATAACACAGCTGCGAAGGATGTAAAACACTCACGGCCGACCGTATCAAATCACGACATAATTTGACTCCCTTTTTGCCCAGTAATCCACGAAAAACGTGCACTTGTAATAAAAAAACGAACAAAATATTTGAAACGTGTTTGATATGATGGTAGATAAAAATTCCACCATCATGCTAATTGTCTAGGAAATACAGTATCTGGATTGCTATTTTTTTACAAACATCAATGGACTTGATCACAATTCAGAAGAGAAACGGATGCGTTTCTAAACACATTACTTATTTTATAGAATTTACTTAATTTACAAAACAAAAATATATGGAGACGTGTTAGTTTAACAATTCACGATTAACTTGAGTAAACACAATCCAGAGACAACTATTTACAATCAAGAATGTACAAGGAAAAACATATCAATTGTGAAGTGGTGGTGGCCTTTTAAGGTTACAATCCATTGACTTGTATTAAATGCCAATATTGAGCGCTAGTTAATTTATTGATACATTATCAGGGCCAAAACACCTTCAGATCTACTCCTATACAAATTAAATAAATCTTCCGCCGGTAAGCAAATGATAACAGGTTTACCGTAAAATTCACAAAAATGTCTAAGCAAACTGATATTAACTGCGCTACGTTGCCGCCATGGTAACACCAAGCCAAACACAGGGTCACAAGGCAATTAATAGTTCAGGCTTCATTTCGTTTCTTCAGAAGGAAGAGGACCACGTAGAAGCTAGACGGCGCATTGATGTACAAAGAAAATATTGCGTTATGATTCCGGCGGCCAAATTTGTTTTGAAAGGGAAGTTCAAAAGCTGCACAATACGTATTTCATAATGACTCTAGAAAAAGAAAAGCTAATGTAATGCATTAAAATATCATTTGGTTGCGACACTCTCCGTAACTACTCATTCCTAATATGATCACTTATGAACCAGAATTGAATGCGAAATGTTTAAAATAGCCATTAAATGGGTTAGATGTAAGTGGATGAAAACGTATGTAACGATTTTTTACATGACCACCTCTGCGTTTGGCCGCCATTTTTGCATTTGTTCTGGTCGTGTGCTCGTGGGCTGACCTTCTAATCAAGCCAAAGCTAAATTCCTTCGTCTCATCCCGAATAACATGTATTTGTTCCGATTAAATGCCTTCTGTCCAGTTGGAGGTCATGGAGTGCTACTTGTGGGCTCCATTTCCCTTCTTGTAGACCTCACATAATTAATGTGAGGAAGTTGGGAGATTTATTTGCAATGGTGAGCATTGTAGGCTGGTAGCACAGTTGCAATGCCTTGCTTATTCCGCTACCAGTATGACTGGTGGACACTTTAGTTCTTAATTTGGTCTTGGATGTATGTGTAGCGTCCCAAGATTCCTAGCCGGTATAAGAAGTCAGTAAGCGCAGCTCGATACATGTATTCTAAAGATGATGGAGCATATGGGCTTGGGGATGACCCGAAGGCCACTCCACGTGTACAAGGGCCAGACAAATTCAAAATGACCGTCTTTTGAGCGGCGTCCTCGGCTATCCCCTTTGGTACGCCTCCCGCGCCAGCCATCACAACATATTCTTACTACAGAAAAGCACCCACGAGCCAAATGCGCCAGTTGACAGATAGTATAAGACTGGGAAATCGTACCTAGTCTCTTCGGCAGAATCAACTGGATCTGCAGTTACGTTTGGTCTAACAACCAGATTCGGGATCGCATACCCCTGTTGACCATCAATTGCTTCCGGGATTAGATGGTGGAACGCTGGTCAAAAGCAGTAATAATACAGGTAAAATGGGATGAGCTGCTGTCCCGCATGTAAGGAGAACCGTGGTGTCATTCCCGACACCTAAACACGGATTCTGTATGGGGAATTCTGACCCGAAACTTTTCCTGATAGTTCACGGCGGTGTCGCTTCAGTTGTTAATAGCTATGTGGAACACGGGGAGAATTCAGAGGTTCTCCGTCACCAAGGTAAATGCGCCTTCTTCAATTTACGTCCACTTTTCGCCTGTATCTTCCTCATGATTGCCGGTGCACAGCACCAGAATGCGCTTATTGATCTAGGATTTCTTCAATTAAAAGTTGAATTCATTTGCAGTCTTGTCTGCTGGTTGGATTATAAACTTCTTGTCGTGAAAAGAGGGGTTTTGAATTTCCGGCCGAGGGAACCCGATTTTGGGGTCCAACAGACTATCAGACTCATAGATGCTCGAAACGGCATTTCCTGATGGTTCATGGCGGGGTAGCTTTAGTTGTCCGTAGCTTGCCCATGCAACACAGAGATGGGACAAATGCCAAACCTAGAAATCGCTCTTAGCACTCCTGATGTGGAGAGGTGAGGAGCTCTAACATTCAAAGTATGTGGTTCAATGTCTGTGTCATGGACAGGAGAAATATGTTTGTATTCCGCTGCCGGGACTTTTCCCTTGGTGCAAAAAAGAATTAAGTGAGGACTGTAGCGTCCCGAGGCTTCCAATGAGGTAGTAGAAGGCATAGGATTTGTCAAGACCTAAAAATTAGCTCACACAAAGCAGAGTAAGATTGACCAAAATTGGATTCAGTCAATCAGGAAAGCGATTACACAAGGAATTATGTAACCTTCTTTTCATTTTCTTGTATATAACTGATGAGAAGTAAAGGAGCGTTGCAACAACAAGAAGGGAAGCAACTTCCTTCTGTTGCATTCATGAGATGGAATAGTTTGCCCATTACAGCATTCACGCTAAGTTTCCACACCTTGCTTGGAAGGTCCTAGATACTTTGTATGGGTGACCACCTGCTGCAAGGTGGTTACTTCGGGACTCATCAAGTCGCTCTACACGTAAAATGGCCTTCAAATAAACCACAGACTTAATCCCTTCTTCCCCTTAGAACATATGCATTCCTCAAGTCTTATTGCTATCTACCTGAGGGGCGGTCCTGAGAAGCTATAAACACATTTAAACATCATATCTAATGCTTCATACAAAAATCTTGCATGAATTTGAAACGTTGAATTTCAGAACACATGCTGAATCTTCAACTCATATACGTTCATTTTATTAATAATTTTGTTTCACAGCTTCTGTTGACAAACTTAAACCTGACCAATTAAACGCTTTTAGCAACACGGCTAATAATATAAAGCTTTTGTAGCGTTATATATTAAGTTTGGTTGTTGCGTTTGAGTTTTGTTTAAACTTTCAAAACCCTATTTATACGTTCGACCTTATGGAGCAGAGGTTTTCGTAAGTATTTGGAGATGGTTCGTTGTGGTGACAGGTGTCGGAGCTTTGGCTTGGCAATTTATAACCCAAAGGAAAAGAAGTTTTGCGGTCGGACATGTAGCAGTTGGGGTATGTCGAATTTCGGGTATTGATTTGTATAGCTCTGATCTTTGTGTATTACCTCATCTTCTACTCCTGCCTTGCTGGATTTTGGATTGGAATGTTGTCAGTCCTCATCTTTGCAATGATAAATTCAACTGTACCAGCACTAACGGGAATGCAAAGTCTTCTTAAATTGAACCCTGGTATGTTGGATATTTGTGGTATTGTGATGCGACAAGACAAAGTTTTAAGTATTTTCTCCTTAGTTTGTGTGATTGTCAGAAATGGTTGGTTAATGTGGAGTGTATGAATGTTTATCTTTTAGGTTCGCTTTGCTTTCAATTTAGTTGCGATTGGCTTCTCACTAAAGTCACTTTTGATTGACTGTTATATGAAAGTTGTTGTGAATTATAGCTCGCTCACACTGTGATTTACGAAGGCTTATTTTAGCTTGAACATCCCTTTTTTAAGGTCTGGGAATTCTGCCTCCTGTGGATAGTGAAGGCACTCTCATCCAACTTACTCTATTTGATAGCAAACAAAAGGAGGACTACTTGAAATTTATGCAAAGTTACTTGAAGGACTATTCAAATTTTTCTTCCAACTGCGATTTTGAAACGGGAACTAGAATAGACTCTTCCATCCTTGAGCCTTGCGAATTTCCTCTCTCTCTCCTTGGTCCCTGTGCTGATCCAGCCAATTACATAAACACCAATCAAAACTTTTGCTTTTACCTTAAACTCAACAAGGTATTGTCTTGCACCATTCTTACCACCTATTTTGTCTTGCAATGATTGTGGCTATTGCAGCCTTTTCTTAACTTAGATCTATGGCTACCTTCCTGACATTGAAGGAAACAAGATTCACGTCAGTTGTGGCCCTGCTGTAAGTTAATGGTACTGTTGCTTTTTCTTTACGGGAGTTCATCGACATCTGATAAAGTAACATTTTTTAATAGAATTCGTTTGATGGTGCGAATTTGGGCATGCCGGTATATTATCCATCCGTCAGAACTGAAAACGGAACCTTGTAAGTTATCAAATCTTGGTTCTTCTGTCTCTGGATCCGTGAATATTACAAAAAATCTCTATGTTTCCCTCCACAGCGGATACTTTTCTTCTGTTGCCTTTCCATACCTTAATCAACGTCACTATCAGGTGCCTCTCTTGGCCGTCACCTTTCCTAAAATCAAGAGCAACACCGTTGTAATGGTGTCCTGTTCCGTAGTCAACATACCGAATCAGGAGCCCTTCCGTTTTGATTTGGCCATCGACACGGATAGGTCAATTGCTCTATCTTAGGAGTCAATCGTTCCTCAACGCATCATTGCTCACTCCCTTCTACGCTTTTCTCCCACCTTCCTTCCAACTTGCCTTAGTAAGAGTGTGAATGTGCTAATCCAAGTTGTTCTGCCACCATTTCCACTGTGAGCACTAAATTTCTTCAACTACTCGATTCAGGCTTAATTTGTGTTGGTAATGGTGTGAATTTCAGCATGGCAAAAAGCTTCACTTTTCGTGTAAATACTTCATTTTGATTGTGTTACCTGATTATCCGTTTGCATATTTATTTACTTTAAAAAAATTGGTCAATGATGTATATTCTTTTTCAAAATCAGGGGGACCCGTTGAAAGCAGTTACGAGTAGTAGATCTGATGCTGTAAAGGCAACCATTTTGGCTTTTCTGTTACCCAAGTATGTCTTTTGTCATCGAAGTGAGTCATGGTACCTTTGTGCCCTAGGTGTCAATGTCACGGGAGTCACAAATGCGGCTTACGTGTGTAGAATGTTTTGTCCAAAAAGTCACGTCTTGCAAAAAAGGGAGGTGCGAGATCACGGTCACCCTCGAACCAATGGCAAGCTGCTAACACTTATGTAGCGGTTTGTCTCGGGAATATTACAAAATGAGAGGTCGTGTCCAATCCTTCCTACTTAATCAAGGTGTTAAGGGTTACTAAATTCGCCCTAAAATCAGCTAAAAGAAATAAATCTAGTGATAAATAGGTGATTTGTTGGGATAAGGTGTATTGCTAAACCTAGATAATGTTTTTACTAATTAGGAGTCTTAGTTACTGCGCTCAAAAAGTGGTGCCTGCTTACTATTTGTTTCACCTACTTAAGACTCTATGCTGAAGCCCTCATTACCGAATCGGCAAAGCCTACAACAACATCCTCAGTACTCTATTTGCACCTCAATTGTTTGTTCTCATGCATTATGCCTTGGTGAGCTTCACTTTCGTCAGTCAATTTGACTAAAGGAAGGACAAGTCTTTTAAACTCTTAATGAGTAGTGCGCATAGTTGTGCAGCATTTGAACGTCATAAATCCTCTGTGGGAAAAACGAGACATTTTGTGAAAAGTCATAATAAAATCAGCTAACCGCATTGGGAACGGCTGCGTTCCTTCATTGCAGAGGCAGCATATTACTGCAAATACTGGATTAATGGTAGGCGAACCTCCGCCCCAATGGCTTGGCTCCCGATTTCCAAGCCTCACCCTGTAAAGTGGAATATTTATGATGAGTGGGCTCAAAGTACCACAAAGAGCATCATTAACGTTCAGACAAAGGCCAGACGATGCTAATTCGTCACACCTAGTGGGTTTGAGAGGCGATAAGTTATGAGGCATATCCCTTTCGTCATCGAAACTTCTCCGTACTGAATCCATCCTTCCGTAGCAGAATGCATATCACTACCAATTTCAGCCCATGAGAGTCGTCATCTCAAGCATGTGTCGTACACTTTTTCGGTTTGTACGCGGTTTACGCAATTTGCGAGAAGAATAATGTTTTGTGCCATACCCTCCTGGAATAGAGGGAACCATGTTTATGTAATATCGGCGCCATCATTTCAGCACACCAAATCGTGGATAAACACGATGCTAGGGCCCTTGCCATGAGCGCTGGTGTCTTTGTCGCATAAATAAACAGGCACCCAACAATCAGTGCCTGAGCTGCTAAAATTCAGGTCAACCCCTCTGCAGTCCTGCTTGCCCGCTTACCCCTTCATAAGTTCATTCTCATGTCACTGTCCTCGTCAAAGTACAACGAACTGGTCCTGTGCCGTTGGCAGTCCATGTTGCCATCCCGTTTCGTTGCTCTCATTTAATGTTGCTTACCATTTTTACACGCATACTGTCAGGTTTGGCTCAAAATGAGCAAAGAAGCGTTTTGTATTATTCCTATTAATATTACCAAATGGTTTTCGATAAACAATGCGCGAGGGAATCAACGAGAAACCGCGCCATCGAAGAGGGTCTAGGTGCTCCGTCGTGATGCGCTCACAGTATCTTTTTAGCTTTATTTTTCTACGTTGCAACAAAAGGAATTGCGTGTCATTAAAGGAATATGGGTGTCCCGATAAAAATGGATTTTGATCGAGGCCAATGATTTGACCTTTTTTACCTTCAAGCTCGTGGAACATGATCACGATCACATGAGCTGCACCAGTCGGAGTGCAACGTGACGACAAAAACAGCAGATTGGAGTGAAAGTGCAGTTTGAAAGAGGGCAATTAAAGCAAAGTGACCTATGTGTTTGATGCCTCCTTTCCTGGGCAAAAAAAAGCGTTGAACGCATTTTGCTATCCATCCGCCTCGTCACTGATGGTAAAGCGCTGCGTTCTCCATTCCAAGGTATTGTAGGCGAGGAGATGGGAATGACGTGTAAACAATTCAAATTTTAAGTTCCTTTTGTGTGGAAGAAATCCAATCTGATTTGTCTCCTTCATTAATTAATCTAGATACGGAGAGGTTTGGGTTAGTCTCGGAAACATGGATAACGTGCTACGATTAGCCGACAGGGGGTCATCGTGCTGTCCTTAACGGGTTTTGAAGGGCAGGCCTGGATGTCACGAGTATAGACACTTTTAGCGATTCACTAGAGGGTGATACCACCTGTCTACTCAGTCATGATCATAAGCCACGCTGAGGTGTGTAGAACCTGGAGCGGACGTGACTTGTGCACACCTGACGTGTTTACATGAAGGTCACTGGCACTGAAAAATAGCGCAGATCCAATTTCACCAATCCTTGTGTGTTTATATTAATTCCCCTCCAACGCATCTTCGTATAACACTGAATGCCTGGAGAACTGTGCACTGAGTTACGCAGGTAATGAAAGGGAGGTATCACGGGCGGTGGATCATGCTGGCTAAGAATTTAGTTGTCAGTACGACATCGTACTTTATTCTCCCATAACAGCTTACTTAAAGGGGGTAGGTCAGTTGAAAGCCTCTTTCCTACGTTTGTGGGGAACAGGGGAGGAAACGAAGCTTTCTTCAAAGGGCTGTACAGCAACCACTGACCCATTTAATGGGTAAAGTTGGAAGCGGAATGAACCACTAGCCAATGGCTTGCATGGGGTGCTGCTCTGATGGCAATGACAATCCCATCACAGCCGGCTGCGCTTATTCACGTCACCTCATGGCTTAAACGTGGTCTTGCAAACAACGTGGTGCCGCAGATTGCGTGACGCAAAGTAACTAAATAAAACAAAAGGGCTATTAAAGTAGAGTTTTATGAAAAGAATTAGGTGATAATTGCGAAGTTCCATTAGAAGAATGGAAGGTTTTCGAGCCGCTATGACAGAAAAATGTGACCTTCGCAAACGGTGGTCAGAAAGGCCGCATTGCTGGGGACAAGTTACAATAAAAACAAAATCCTTCTTTAACTTTTAGCTGGTAATTTTGTCCTTTGGTAGCTCTTCCACTGCGATGTTAACAAGTCGGTTTAGTGAAGCTGATGAAACATAAAGTGAGGCGAATGAAGGTGTGGGTTTTTGTAATTGAACACGGCCTTTGGAAAATGTGTCATCTTGGGTGCTGACCACGGTGGAAAAATTAACTATCTACCCTATGTTTGTTTCCAGCTATAATAAAAAAGGACATTCAGCTAAGCCGACTGGTTCATACTAACGCTTCACCTTTGCTTCAGTGACTATCCGCAATGCTGATTGAATGCAACACGCACTAACCTTCCAGAGCATTCACTGCCGTAGTGGGATGAAGTCTGTAACTCCACCCAAACAGCGTAGAGTCGCAAGTCTTCCCCATAGCCTTAGTGAGCCATCAGCTTGGAAGATCAGACGGTTTGCAGGGCTCTAGGCGTGGCCCGAGAAGCATGACCTCAAGAGGAAAGGTGATTTATGGGGAATAAAGAGGCCGCGCACAAAAAAATGTACCAAGTAACGGTAAAGCGTTCAAAAGGCACATTAAAAGCGATGTCTTTTATTCCAAGTAAGCATAATATTTTGACCAACCAATAAAAGGCAGTAAGAGACTAATTAAAGTTGTCTCAACAGGGCGACAGTAAATCTTGCTCCCCACCTTTAGCACTCCTCGTTACCTCCATATTTTTTGGTAATTTCGTTAAAGATAAGTAAATCCGGCCATTGCGAATCAAGAGTAAGTTTCCTCGGTAAAAGTTATTGGTGACTTAGGAGTCGAGAGTGGAGGTGGTGCAACCCAAATAAGGCAAAAAAGCTCAGTTTCCAAGGTTGTCAGCAATCATTTACAGCTTTTCCAGATGTTAGCTCATGCTGTTCTCCTTCAAAGAAGTTGCTCCTTTCACTAACATGCCTAATTCCTCAAAAAGGTCTGTTTCGAGACGGTAGACTGATGAATGCACGATTTCGGTCGATGGTGCAATGCGCACACCCTGTGCGGAAAGGGCAGCACCAGCGATGGCGTCATTGGGGACGGATGTCCGGAGTTTGCAACCGTCTTTATCTGGCGCCGTCCGAGTCGTACTTGTAGATTCATAACTTTTAAATAAGTGCAGATTCCTTAAGCCTTTCCACTTTTAAGGGCGTGTAATGAGATTATCAATTGTCAAGCAATTGAAAGCTCAAAAGGTTTTGTAAAGTAAGTGGTTGAGAAAACCGAATGTAACTTCGAACACAACTTCTGATCCTAGTCTGTTTGAAGGACTGCATTCATGTAAACGAGAAGTGTCAAATCTCGTCGCACATTAAAAGTAAAGGACCGTTCATAGCAACTTTTGGTCAACCGTTTGTCCAGCATCAACTCGACTTTCGATAACGACCAATCCACAGCATTTCTCGATTTTGCGTTAAACATCACCTTCCATTGTATGATGGGTTGCGACCTCTATTCTGCCCACCTTGCTTGATCAAGAACCAATGGAACTTAAAACATTTTCTCCAACTTTTAACGGCGTGGCTCTCTTAAATATGTTAATCAACGAATGCTCGCCTAGTGCTCAAGACAACAGCCAGCAATTCAACATTTCGATTTGCTATAGAAACACTGACAGAAAGTTGGTAATACAATTTGGAAATACGTATAACACAAATGTGCACACCCAAAAAGTGGTTTTCGTTCAAATTCAGAGCAGCGTGACAGTGTGTGCTGATAGCCACAATCACTGGGGTCAAACGTGTGCACATTCAAACAACCAAAGTTATCAGGTGGCCGAAAAAGTTCACGCCATTTTTTATCACTGTAGCTAACTGCCACAGCTATTTGTAACTGACACGACCTCAGAGCTTAAATTGAACTTAAGTTACAGGAGCTATTCGCAACATTCGTTTGGCTCCTGTAAGAGGTGCCATTTCGGAACGAATCACCTGAATGTATGTGAATTCCTTTTCTCCAATGAAACGCCACACGGAGTTGGTTGCATCACGATAGGGCAGAGCTTCAAATTCTGACACACTCACAACCTTTGTCCAGGGAAGACTGTGAAAGATTCTGGAAGATTGAAGCTCACCTATTCGACTTAACAGATGGTAGTAACTTCCTGTGTGCACTAATGTAAGTGCACCACTTTTACATTGTTCGCCGCCTGACAGACTTATGATGCGAAAGGGCTGATGGGGTCTTGCATTCCAGCGTTAAGTTTACAAATGTTACCTTTGCCATTCCCAGACAATGCGTAAGCCAGTGTGGCCATGGAGGATGTCTCTGCGAGGCATAATCATGAAGCAAATCCCACTACGTCTTCTTGCAACATTAATAAGGATCTCATAGGCCAATTTCGGATTTAGGAAAGGGGAGAGATATCTTCTCACCTCTAGTCTTATCCTTCCTTTCTCTCGAGAATAGAAACTCCCCATAGCAAACATGCGACAGCTATATGCACTATAGGAGACCAAAAGTAGAACAAAGTCAAGGGCCACCTAGACTTCGTGTTTACTAGGCAATACTCGAAGCCACCTTCAAACTTGATAGAAATGGACTACCGACTGCAGTAGTGGGTTGTTTGACTTTCCTCCCAAACCGTGCACACGATCCAGAAGACACGAGAACCCCCCGAGAAAACCCTCGAACAAACTACACATTGTAATTTTTCACCGCCATCCATCAACGTCCGTAAATTAAACCATGGTGTTGCTTAAAACCGTTTCGCTAAAACAAAATCAGCACAAAAATAGGCACTTACATTTTTATCAGCTGAACGATATTATTTTTACACTAAAATAAAAAATAACTATCAATTTAAGGTAACAATTAGTGCTTCTGTGTATTCACGATCAATGGAATGCAAAATGAAATTTGACAACATGGAATATCGTGAAATTTTCAATTCAAGACCGATGACCTTTGCAGTTTTCGTCTTCTTTTGAGATGTCAAAAACAGAGGCTATTTTTATCATGCAAGTTCATTAAGGTCCGTACACGATTTGCTGCGTGTGGAGTTACGGACAGTTGCCCCAGTCTTTCCCCACATCATCAATCAATCCTGCCTCCACATTAGCAACATATTATCATATTTCTAGTGCTACAAATCCTAAAAGCCGCCCCAACAAAAGTGGCTGCTGCGTGTGTTGAGCCTCTATATCATTTTGGATCATGCTTATCTGGTGACTGCTTCTGGCCTTTTAATTTGGTCTGTCGTTAATGACCGTCAGCAATGGGAGATTAAAGGGCAGCATTTTAAATACAATTCATGTTATTTTGTCCTCTTTGTTTTAATAGCCGAAGAGGATGGCATATGGTGAATGCTTGATATAAAATGAAATGGTCAGCCTTTACACTGGCCTCCGAGTGGAGCAGTCCTTGAAACGCATATCTCGTTGATAGCAATATCCAGCCTGCTATGCGGGGTGCACTATTCCCCACTTTTATATTTATCTCATGGAATGCTTCACCTCTCCAGAAGTCTCATTGAGGTTGAAACAGAGGCATGAGACCTAGAAACGCTCCTACCAAATTTTACCAGACTTTTATTCACTATAAATCGAAATTTGCCGTTGTGCTATGTTTGACACGACCATGTGGGCTTCGTGTAAAGCCATTTTTTAATTGTAGACGCTGCCAAGGGAGCTGAAGTCTTCCCCTAAGCGACTTGATTAATGCATCGAAGTTGTTGTTTTAAACAACCTCGTGGGTCAGATCCAGGGTATAAGAGCAATTGCCGTACTGGAGGGAGGGGCTGGCGCTTATTGCTCCCCGCTCCGGGTACAATCGCCTCCCTACTTCCATCATGTCGATTTTCGCTTCCCTGCGATGTCAAATAAGACGCGTGTAAACAAACTGTCTCCTGAGGTAACGTCAGGGCGGGATATGGGTGATAACGCATTGGGGCTACAGTTACCATGTCAGACAGGAAGGGTAGGCGGATAGTACAATCGTATCACTGCACTCATGGCCCCAAATATGGGGTCCGATTAGAATTCCCGCCACCCACTTGCCGGGAACATTGTAAACAGTCAGTATGCATTACCATAGCTTTCTTACCAAAATTACGCAAACGAATCGGTTTACAAGGTTTTCTTTACAAGGAGGAGATTACCTGGGACAAAATGCTGAATAAGCATACACCATTACATTGCATCCGACTACCGATGCCCATCAACCTGATCATGATTCTATTTTTATACTTTTGTGTGCTGCTCTACCTGAGGCATTAGTCTTTCGGTCACTTTTTACGCTTACAATAGGGCGCATTTCCAGTTTATTTGGGTCAGGAACCTTTGGAGACAACAAGGACCGCATTTCGATCTCCTTTTCCTTCTCCAAAGGAGCGATTTACTATTATTGATGTAAAAAAGGCTGTAAGGCCTTGTTACCTCCCAAAGGGGAGATTGAGGTTAAGTGTACATTATAGCAGCTATCATATCCAATTTTTATGTTCTCATTTTAGCGATCAAGTTAACGTGGAAACGTTGATATAATTCGTCGGTTTCATTGTAGTTGACGTGTCATCACCTTCTAAGCTGCATTAAGAAGATGGCGAACGACGAGGGCTTACCATTTTCGTACTTCTCGAGGTTGAATGATGTCTACCAGGTGTGGTGTGTGCTTCAGTCCCTACCCAGCGGGAATATTTGCTTTAATCTGGAGTTGCGTAACCATAATCAGGCTTGGAAGTATCTCTGTTCGACATTTACTTCCCACAATCTTGTTGCTTTAAGGTTGTTCAACCATTTACAGTCTTCGCGAGAATACCATTGCGGTCGTAAAATCGCTCATGTTGGTTGTCCTTTTGTTGTTGGTCGCCTTGTAGAACGGGCAGGAGTGGGCACAGCTACAAAGTGGTGGTCCTGGAATCTGCTGTGCCCCATTGGCCTCAGTGACAAACCAACTCGAAGGAATTCCAAAATTTAGAAAATAAAATCTGTAGTGGATTGCTGGGGAGGGCGAAAGTGGAAGCATTCTTTGGCTTCAAATTTCGCATAATAGTTGTTGTTGGTGGAGTTCCAACGGGCAATAGTTTTTTAAGGAGAACAAATAGTTGTACCTTTTTATAGAATTGTTTCATCACACACAATGATCTGCTCGTCACCATCCACCCTATGATACGACTACCTGTCCTCCTTCCTTAATGTACTTTTTGAAACTGGATTCCAAAATTAGCGGAATTTACTAAATCTAAACCAAGTCTCGCACACGCAATAAAACCGCTTTAAAGACATTAAATAATATTTTTGGCCCACTTTTCCGGTAGGCCAAATATCAACGAATGTTGCACTAGGACACCAGTTCTCATCTATTTACTCGAGTTCACGTGATTGTCTTTCTAAACAGAAGCCAAATGGCGAGGATATTTTCGAAGCTACATTAAATAAAGTGGGTCAAATTACTATTTTCTTTCGGGACAAAAGTACTTTGGCATTGTTGCGAGCCAAAATGACAAATGCACCGCACTTCGTAATTCAATAGATGCTTGAAATAATATTTATTGACAAACAAACGCATTTTTGTGAAGAGAGAAAATTTGAGTTGAACGAATTTCGCCCTCCATAGAGGAGGTATCTTAGCATCGGCTGACCAGAGCCAAGAGGAAACGGCAGTAATCGCCGTGGGTATCACCTTTTATCGATTCCTCCAGCGTTTTACCATTTTTCTCCTCGAATATCGCCTTGATCTCAGCCATGTTATCCTAATGGAAGTTAACATTAGAGAAAACGTTTCAAAACAGCAAGGTTCTGCTAGGAATCATGCTTAAACTTGCCTCTGCATAGGCCAATATGAGGCGAATCAGGTCATCATCACGAGTTCCCATGCCTTTCATTGAGTCTCGAATCAGATCTGCAACACATTCTTCCTTTTTGAAAGCCGTTTTAACTGAAAAATAAAGGAATAAGGGTCGAATTTTGCCTTCTAGTGTCTTTTAACTTGAGAGGTTAATAGGTTTCTAGCCCATCTACCAACAGTCGCGACGGCGTCTTTGTAATCTCCAGAGAGTTCCTTTTCAATGGCCTTCAGAATACCATGTCCAGTTTTCTGAGCACATGAAAAGAAATAAACAAAGCCAATGAAGAGTTTAAAAGTAGATGTTAGATATGTGCGCATGAAAATGGATACTTCAATCATTTAAATGATTTTTTGGAATGCGGTGGCTCCCAAAATAACGCATGTCCACTGATTTGTAGGCATTAATCTTTTGTGTCGAAAACAGTTGGATTCGTGACAGATGAAAGTGGTCTTGATCAACGCCAAGTAGAGCGCTGCGCAGAATACGCGCAGGTACGTGACTGTTAGATGCGGATTTCGGGTCACTACTCACTTGGCAGTAGAGCTCGTCTAGCAAGCGAATCGTCCTGTAGCTCCGTCTTGAAAATATTCTCGTAAATACCTCTTCATCAGTCCCAAGTTTTCTTGGTAAGGTAAAGAGTAATCACTGAAGAGACTGTAAAATTTGGGTAGCCATAAATATAAATTATGACTGTGAGGCTTTTTTACTTAAAATAAATTAGTAGTAAATCAGATTGTAGTGAGAACGGGAATGATAGAGGCACATTCTCAAATACACACTTTTCTCCGGCGGCATATAATGCATCCACATCAGCTTCAGCTGCTGATCGGTCCACGCCTTGTTCTCTGACGCCTTGCAACAGAGCTACGATGAATTTCTCGAAGTCACCACTCAAATCACTTCGGATATCCTTTTCAATATTTCGACGCAATGCTGAGGCAAAACGAATGCTTTGGTAAAGGCATCGCAACGAGATTCGTAAATTACATCCAACATGTTGCATGAAGTTGAGAAATCCGCAGTGACTTTCAAGCAAACAAAGAAAGTAAAGACGTGTGCGTACCCTCTTTCCACTACTCCAATACAAGCAGCAAAGATGGTACTCTAATGTAATTTCATCACAATACCAAATAAGCTTGCCATCAAATAACTTACGGTTTTCATTTTCTTCCAAAAGAACTAAAATGCAAAACACCGTTAAGATTTTTCAACATCGTTTGATGATCTCATTATATTAAGGCGCTTATTAAGTAAACATTACAAAAAGGAGAAATGCCTTAAGCTAAATGAAAAAAGTAGTTAAACACAGTAAACACAGATCAAATAAGAAGTTGTCTCCATATTCTTATGATTAAGCTCCCAATTCTCCCTATTCATTGCAAGCTACTCCTGTCCAGTTTTTGGTAGCGGTGTCATGCCTACTAAGGTCCAACAATGTGAAACGAATGCTGGCACTCAAGGGGAACATGACGGTGTCCCGAGACCTGCCACTAACCCACAGGAGTCGTAGCACTTTGTTGAGTAATTAAACTTAGGCGGAAAAGAAAGGAAGGTGAGGCTTTGGCATAGTTCGAAGGCTACTTTGCTTGCAATTTCACTGCTGGAGTGGAGGTGTATGTGAATGAGCAGACGGCGAAGTCATGCTAACATCATTTCTACGCTGTAATGTGTCTTCAAAAGAATCGCTGAGGACTAGACATCCACGCACTAACTACTCTGCCTGCTTCTTGTCATGTTCAGAGTTCCTTTTCGTGAAATAATTGATGAATTCAAATCAGTCAGCAATAGAAGAGCAAATTATCCTCCATGAGCTGGGAACCGATAGAGCGATGATTCTCACACCGATAAAGCCGAAGGGTCGGAAATATCGTACAAATGGTTCAGCACCTCTTCTTTAGTGACAGTGGAGAATAACTGCATTAATTGCAACACCTATGGTCATCTACATGCGCTCTTAGGGAAAGAGGAAGGACAAATGTAATTCCTTTGCTGAAGAGGTGAATGCATCCATAGCCTTAAAGTCGCATCCTTTTAAAATATCATATTTTCCTCTGTTACGACCCTCATGCCAAATAAAATTTTCCCATTCCATTGTACTCTCTCGAGCCAAAGGGAAGGGACGAAAGAAGAAATTGCAATGCTTATGATGCAAAACTGGATGAATTTGAGAGGTTGTCAGGAGTGTGTGAAGTTTCAGAAGGAGTTTCTAAGACATTCCAGCTCCACGTTCAATCGGGGCCAAATCCAAAAACCAGTGCGTAAGTCAGCTCCGCCTTATTGATGGGTGCGCGACGTGAGTATATCAAGTGAACTAATTTTTATCAAAGAGTCAGGGTCAATCCGATGCTATAATTACGGAAGCCTGGAACCGCCTGTTGCCTTCAACTCGAGCTCTCCATTACTGATGCATAAGCCGAGCTTAATTGTGTACATCAGTTTGTAGGGCAGTGAGGCATCTGCATTGACAGCATTCCAATTTGAGCACGTAATCTTGTGCAGATGAGACTGAAGGGGAAGACATTCTGTCTGTTGCAGAAAAGGTTGTGCTTTAGCAAAGCTGAATCACTGTTGCCTTTTTTCTTTTTCCAAAGCAGAAATGACGCACAAAACTATGCAGAAGTGTTGATAACCAAGAAAGTAGGTTGAGAAGTGGAGACAAATCATTCATTTTCCTCTACTACCACTCAGTGGGAATTGCTTAAACAAACAGCAACAATAAACATTTAAGAAATGCAAAGGTTTTGTGGAAAAATTGCTCTAACCATAGTATAGGCAGTAGTAAGGCGAATTATTTTGTTGAGGCACAGAAACTACAAACAAGTTTGCTAAGACTTTCGTCTTCGTTATGTATTGTTTCTTTTTCGAAACTATGCAACTCATTTTCGTAAATCTTTTAATGATGGTAATGCGATGGTACTGAGACAGTGGGAGGGGTTGTTCCAGAGATAAATGTTGCGGTAGTGTGAGACTCGTTTCATTCCATTAAAATGGACTAATTTTCCAAATCTACGAGTTGTGACATTTTTCAACAGTGCAATGGACTCTTCGTTATGGTTTAAGATCACAGTGACAGCATTGGCGACTCTTCATCGAATCACTTCTACCTGCGTTCAATCACAGTCCACCTTCAAACTATCTTATTCCAGACCGGATGAGAAAGTGGCAAGTTGGGCACGTACCGTCCTCGTATGCGTCGCGTAGATCAGCAATGTCGTCATTGTTGGAGGTGCAGATGACTTGGATGATAACGCTCTCCTTTGTTCCTGGCCCGTCCATGGCCTCGAAAAGGGCATGAGCGTGTAGGTGAGGTTTGTCGAAGAAGGACCCCAGGACCACCTTCTGAAATTTGCCTGAGAGCTCTTTTTTCAAACGAGTTAAAAGGTCCTAGAACGAGGAAGTAGAAACTCCTAATTGTTAGTGCTAGCAGCTTTACATAGGCATGGCAATGAGGTCATTGTGCTGCAATTTTAACCTGGTTTTCTTCTAAATTATGGTCCAATCGGCCAAATAAGAGTTGGCCGTTACAAGGCTGAGGGCAACTAAGCTTTAGATTTATTCCCTCGACTGTCTAGACGTCGAAGTAGAAGTGAAACACGTGGAGCTGAGAGAATATTTATTTTCTCTTTGCTACAGGCAAGGATCGTGCTAAATAGGTGGCCTCTGCAATTTTGGGCAGTGCATCCTCTTATTAATCACGATCCTAGCGAGCACCAAAGGATCGTCGGGAGATGATCCACCTTTTGCTTGCAATTTTACTTGTCTGATTGTCCACTTTTCCCCCAAAGTAATGTAATCATCAGCCAATTTCACCGAACCATTTGCCTAATGACAAACACATTCGTCATAGTCAAACACCGCCACAGTTTCGGTGCTGCTTTTGATGTGACAGTTTCTGATCCAGAGACTTAGCTGTGGGCAACGATCGCCCTAAATGCTGCAAAATAACAATGAATATGCAGTTTATACAGCTTAGAATCAACTCTATATTATGCCATTAAATCTGCTTAAAGCCAACGAAGGTCTACTTTTTCTGATGACGAACAACCATCTCTTGCAGTTTGAAGAAGTGGGCAACACTCACTTGTCCGTAGCATGCCTTGTAGATGGTGGCAATTTTCCGCCTTTGGTTGACCGTACGATTGGCCAGAATTTCAATTATTGCATTTTCGTCGGTCCCTGATGCCAAAAAGTGGAAAGAAAGTTGCAAAGTCATCATCAAACAAAAGGTGCTTTCTAGGAGGCACCACTCATGATTATTGTTTCCTACAGAAAAGCCAAGTCCCTCCTTGGCTGGTACTTCAAATTTTACTTAAGAATTGACAGACGCATCGTGTTAAAAATAGATTTACTTTTCAGCACTGGTGTGGAACCAGCTACCGCTAGCCAAAATAAAGTGCGAAAATTTTAAGAAAAGATGGCAAAATGGAAAACTTATTTGCTCAAGATTTACCCAATCCCTTCATGGCCTTTTCCAAGGCCTGCGCATCCATGTCCGGATCAAACTTTGCTGGCATTCTCCTTTCTATTTCCAAAAGTAGAAAACGCTTATCATCAACGTTTCTTACAGTCGGATGATTTTTTCTAGTAAAATTAAATGCAGTTGTTTAACTTCTAAGCAAAAAATTACAAAAAAGGGAATGGTTGAAGTAATCAAGAATGAAAATTTGAATTCACGAGAGAAACGGGCCTTCAGTGTAGTCTTTTGCATCTAAGTGATTCCACTCCTAGCGCTTGGATTTTATTCTCACCTCTGAATGCACTTTCATTTGGCAACAACGAGGGCACTCAGGTGATCAAAGTTTGCACTTGGGAACACAATTAAATGGTAGATGGATAAAGTCTCTTTCAATGCAGGAAGCGACTCTCGCTTTTCAATCGCACACTTTACTTCTGCCGTCGAGATCTTTACGTGCCATATAAGGCACTTAAATGCAGCTTTCCATGGCAAAAGAAGGTACTGGAGGGCCGAGAGCTACTGACCTAGACCAGGGAGCGGCCCACGTAGTGGAGGCAGAACGGTAAAGCCTCAAAAGTGACTTTTTAGCGAAACCAGAATTTAAACGGTGCATAGGTGGATGAGTTTGCTTCTGGATTATGCCAATGGACCCAAGCCTTGATTGGCATTTCATGTCTTCACTCTCTTCATGTATCGTTCCCTCTTTCGTTTTGAGGAAGCCTCTAAGACCTACACAAGGACGTTTGTATGGACAGGAGCCATCTGAAGTCACGATGTGAGGGGATTTCTTCACAGCCAACTCGGAGTCTATAGTGGTTGAGGAAAACTGTAACGAATGCTGCTCTCTTTTCTGCGCATTGAAGTCATTAAGTCAAAACCTGGGAGTACTAAAAAAAATTGGGATTTCCATGGACTCGGCATACACTTGTTTTAATTTTACAAGTTGGTACGCATTAATGGTTGTGGATAATAATGCACTAGTGTAATGTTCTAGGTTGCAGACTTAAAGACAAATCAAGATTTCTGTGGCAATTATACGACTAGAGCCAAAAGAATTGTGAATCAGAGCATTTAATTGGAGCCACAATATCACTGCTATGCTGGATACAGATTTTCAGTGAAAGATTAATCAAATCAGAGCTAAAATTTGCTATTGGCATCTCGGCGTTTTAGAGCGCTGAAATTACATGCTATGTGGGACACGGATTAAAAGTGAAGGTTAGTTTTGGGGAAAAAGGCCAACAGGTCGCATACGCAATTGCTAAAAGTGTTTCCACAGCTGTTGATGACACGTAGAGGGTTGAGCCCTGTGAGCGCTTGACCGAAGTCGCAGCTCACGTGAACACAGCAAGAAAGTTTTCTTTGTTCTGACGCAGCATCATGTGACACTGAATTAGGAAATGAACCAAAACACAATAAACGAACTTACTTTTTGTAGATCAGAGAAGCATTTTATGAAATAATGCGTGCAGTTGATGCATTCGCCACCAGTATTGCACGTATACGACGCCTTGATTTTGCCCGCATCTTGCAACCAGGCGGCATCACGTACGATACATGTCGGAAAATAAATTTTAATACAGCTAAAAAATAGAACGCATCAATAAAAAGAAGGAGTCAAATTCAAAATATTTTGACTCTGCCTATTTTAGTACTGGAAGTTGTTTCTCAAGTAAAAGCCGCCTTGGATCGTCTTCTATCGTTTGTGGAATTCCAAAAAATAAAAAGACCAAAATCATCAGACGTGCCCTGTCACTGATTGAGGTGGCAGCTGCAGTGGGAGTGGTGGCTGTCTAGATGGCTTCAGCAACCCAGTCCCGATAATGTTTCATCGGGTCAGAGGCATAAAATATATGCTTACTCAATGGTGCATAATTCCTCCCACGGTTTCATCACTAACTTACTTACCTCCATTAGCAATGGGCAGTCTTGGTGTTCGACTGGCCCATCAAGGCGACGAGGGATGCAGGGACTGATGAGAGGGTGTTGCCTCGATGTAGACTGCAGATTATGATAAGGAAGAGGTTAGAGAGACCCAGTTGAGTTGAGTAGCAATGATTAGGCAAAAGTTCAGTATTCAATGCTACTTTGTCGGTTCAGTTGAATTTCTTTTATTCCTGCAATCCGTCAATAAAAAAGCGTATTTCGTTATATAATGTGACTTTGTTACGCACTCCATCTTTCAGTGGTTTAATGATAAAAAACACGCAGTTTAAAAAAAGTGTCGAAATTACATTTTCGGTTACTTTGTTTTGAGAGCAGAGTCAGTGTTTGCATGAGGATTAGCATTGAAACACAAATTCGTGCCTCATAAGAGGGTGCAGCTAAGAGGTGACCCGCAACTAATAAATGCGGAATTATAAATTACAATTAAAATCCTATTTCGGCTTGGATTAAGATGCTTCAGTTTCCCTTCAAAACGCCTTTTATTTGTAGGATGCAAGACTGCAGTTCCACCTGCAAGCATTCAGGTTTGGTCTAGGCTGATTTGGATGGCTTTGAGTCCAAATTCAGACTTGGCCGTTGGAAGAGACATTCCGCAACAACGCCATTTTTTATTGACTCCACTCTGGACGTGCAGTAACCAAGTGACATCAACACGTTCCTTATCTTCCCTTCTGTACTAATATTACTTGCTGATTTTTTGCTCTCAGATACCCAAACATGTGTTATTTTGGGGGTTCAAGACAATTGGTCCACGGCTTGATCTTCTCAAGTGCATGCGGCATTGAAGCAAAAGCAGTGCTGCCCATCAATCTGACCAACTATGCGTATGTCCGCCTTAAAGCATTAAGCTATAAACACACGCAGATTTGAATAGTTCTGGACAAAGTTCATGCAGCGATACCGATGTGTAGCAATTTTTCTGCTCTGCTTCTTTTACCTTTTTTTTCGCACGAAGGAGTCTGGACAAATCGCTTTGTATGCGCTTTAGCAGGCGAGGTGCTTGGACTCCAGGGAGTGTTGAGAGAGCTGAGGAACAGGAATCTGAAACTCAATCTCACTACTAATGACTATGGCACTGTTATGTTCTACCATGGGAGGGGGATCAAGATTTATGGCATTCTGTTGTGTTCTAGGCGAGGGCGAAGACCAGTTTGTTAAATGTGAGAGTGCTTTTAAGTGTTCGTTTGCAACTCATCTCTTCTTTGTCAAATTTGAATGCAGCAACGCTTTAAATGCTTAAACTTACAAAACAATCCATTAATTTGATATCAGCATCAAACCCTCAGGAGTATGAATTCAATTGAAGCCCACTGGAACTCCATCCAAACTAGGCTAGTAGTCTGACTCAAAAATTTCCTAACATCGAAGCCAAATCGCATTGTCTTCCAGGTTTCTGTGCCTTGCCAGCCAGTTGGGAGGGGAGAGAAAGGGGAGATGGGGAGAGTAGAGAGGGTTGTGCTAATGGTAAACAAGTGTTTAAGAACAACTCATCACACAAATAAATGGCCCAATGAATTTAAAGGTGTAAGGTGGAACTCTTAGTCAAGGTTTTTTTAATGCGTGAGTGTGTAATCAGTGATTTCAAGGCGTTGCGACCATGGCAACCACGCTTTACCGCTGATGATGACAGTTAAGATAATTACATCAGCTCGGCTTGTAGGTACCATACTCGCTCAGGGCAAGAAAACCTAAAATGGATTCCACCAGATCGGTGAGAGGGAAGATGTGAGAATGCGCTAGACTCAGCAGGAATCACAGAATCAGAACAAGAGCATTTAATGAATTCTTATCGTGTAGACGCAGGACACGTTGGATGACTACAAGCACCCCATCTTTGTGACGCCCTCATTTCTACCCCGCTCAGCACGTCACATAAGGGGATGGAACGGCGGTTATGCATGTGATAGTGTGGTGACAAAATGCTTTATGTTATTAATCACACCATTTTTGTTTGTATTCTTTCCACCTCTTTGCAGTTTAGTAGCTAATAAAATTAAAGGATTACAGACAGATAAGAGTGGGTGTGCGTCTTACTTTAGGCTTTTTGATACGTGTGAGGACAGAAGTGAAGAAAGGCGCCAACGTGCAGAGTGATAGCGCTCACATTTGAAAGCGCTGACATACAAAACGGAGTCATTGATCATTGAAACATTAAAGAATTTGCTTGATTCGTTGACGATTGTCTTCCAAACAAACTAGCCCGCGGCCAATCCCGTCCACACACTGGTGTCAAACTGTTGTGCCACACCATCTTTCCTCATTGCAACTTGAAGGCAGGCCCAATTGCTGTTGGTCTGACAAAACAAATGGAACGAGGAACTCTACATACGACACGCAACGAATTATATCCGAAGCCAAGATATGCCTCGCCTAGGTGGAAGTTGGCCTCCAATAGGGATTTTCCTTTCCTGCTACAAGTCTCCCAACAGAAAGTAAAATAAATGAATGAAGCGGTTCAAAATGTAGTGATAGAAGCCGGCAACAAATACATGGGTTAATCTGCAGTTCAATGTGTGTGGATGTGCTTAATGTCATTCCCCTAACCACTGTTTATTTGGTAGTGCCAAGTCAGCAAAGTGCCTTCACACCTCTACGTTCATGTCTCCGGAAGACCGTGCTTCGAACCGAGAGCAGTCACACACTTCAACGATGACGCTGCACAAGGTTTCTCTACTCTCAGGACGCCCCCTGAATGCGTTTGGAAGGGCGCTTGCGTCTGGCTTTTATTTATGCAGGCCTTTTGGATTCAATCCATTCTTGTACTAAGCATGCATGACAGTTAGCAAACAGGTAGAATTTTCTGCAAAGAAATTTCCCATTTTTAAATAAAATGGTACAACACAATTGCAAGTCTGAAATTGGCAACAAAGGTGATGCGCACTGAAGTGATTATGTCTGATTTGGATTGACGCTTTACAAAAAGTAAAAGCAGCTAGAAGCGGTCACCTTTTCAAATAAACGAGAGAACGAGAGAGGAATAGAAAATGGAGTGAATGAATGGTTGGAGAGTGACAGCAGTTTACGCAACGGAGTGCTTCCCACAGACTTGAAGTTGGCATTTTTGAAGAAAATGTGCTAATACCCGCAACCACGACGCTTTTGTCTAGTGTA